TTTTCAATAACTCCTTTCATCATCAGATTCTACGGTTATATCTTCATAATAGTGAATGAATTAGCGTTATTAATAACATTATTGTTGTTTAAATAACATCGAATAAATAATAAAAATAATAATATCGATGGATTTCTGTTGGATAGCATTAACATAACAATATAATGAATATCAGACAGGCAGATTAGGAAAAATAATAATAATAATACAAATTCAATAATTTATAGTGTCCACTGAGGCCCGACGAGGACAGTAGCAGTGGCTTCTTCTGCACACAGAGCACCGGTTGTATCAGGGGAATCGCGATAGTCTCTACTGTTTGGAGTATGCAGTACACCTGGATGTTTTTGGTAATTGATTTGGTACTCGATATATAATGGCGAATGATTCTTCAATGCTGACTTTGTGGCCAGTTCGGACCAGGTGTTCTACTATGGAGCTATTGATGCTTCTCACTCCTCTTTTATTTAACCACACTGGTAGATGTTCACGAGCACGAAAAATCAAGTTCTTAGTGCAACGCTTAGGGCGGTATTCCTAGCCAAATAATTACGAAAAAATTAAAAAAATCAATTCAAAGAACTTTTAATGCTGGTAAATTACAAGTTTTAATTTCTACTCGACCGGTGGTGATTTCCCAATTGAAAGATGAAGTACCTAGACCAACCATCTCTAATTGTATCTACCAATTCAACTGCGCTCGTCGTGGAGCGAGTTATATTGGCTGTTTTCTTTGTCATTTGTTTGAAACAAGAAGAGCGATAGGCGGAAATTGTCAGACCAAAACGTGGCTTCATCAGTCAAAGAAATCCATAACAGTTAGCTTAAGCTACTCACGTAGGGAGGTGTAGACTTCCTGACTGGCTGGAAACAATTGGTGTTATGGTTCAAAATCGTTGTTGGTAGCTGGCGCAGATGCATTCACTCTTTATGACTTTTCATATCCAACAAAACTCTATTGTTCTTCCATATTACTATGCTTTTTGCTTCACTCATACTCCTGTTTATCTATCTTTTGAACCTCCCTTTATTCTCTTTTGCTTTGTGTGCTATAAGGAGGTAGTGTGGCAACTGGAACTGCTGCACCTCTATGCTAAGTTCTATGTTGAAACTAGTCAGTCAGATTCCATGGTTGCCATAATCTTTCATATATTTCTCACATGATCTCCTCCACTCCATCCTCGAACACTCTGCGTTTTCTTTTCCGGTTCCTTCCGAGGGAACTCCTGGCGCTCGACGTCTCTCGACGGTCTTCTAAGCGTGTGTCTGATCCTTCACCATTTTCTTCGGCATATTTGTTGGGCTGTAGATTGTGGGTTTGTTCGTTGCCAGCCAAAGTTCCTTGTTGCTTATGCCTCCTGATCAACCATTTAATCCTCAGCATTAGGCGGAGGCAACTGTTGAAGAGAGTATGCCGTAGCCTGTTCAAGGTGCATTTGGTTACGCGAGCTTTGAGAGACTGAGTGTTGAAAACTCGAATCTTGTTTATACTGACTGAAGCTGATTTCCATACTGATTTCAGAATAGTGAATATCTGTCTTTTTTTTCAATCCTGATTGGCTTTGGTGTCCTCATTTATGCCGCTATTTGTAGTTGAAACGAACGCGCTCCAATAAGTGTGGGAGATGCGACCTCGTTCAAATTTCTTCCGTTGATAAAGGGTTTAAACTCTTGATAAACTATTTGGAAGTTGACTAAATAGATATTTACGCTTATTTAGTTGTTACCAGACATCTCCTTGATACAGGTCATGAGATGGAAATCACAAAATCCTTTAAAATTATCAATACACAAAATAGTTTAGTTTTCCTCAAGTTTACCGAAACAGTCGCTGTCAAATGCCTGCAACCGGACTGACGAGTTCAGGAAGAAGCAGTTATCAGTCTTTCCTTGCCTTTTCCTGGCGACTGGATATCTTCTCCCTCTCGTTTTTTGTTTCTGTAGTCTGAGTTGAACTCAGTACATTGTTATCTAATTTATTAGTCACTCATCATCATCTTACACATCTCTCGTCTTTATTATGTAACTCCTTTACCATTGTACGCATACATTTACCTTGTTTAAACTTGAACTGCCTATGTAAAAACTATATAAGCGTAATTTTCTAAGCACTGTGTTCACTAAGTTCGGAACCTTCTGTTAACTGATATCATGTAAAATTTGCAAGTATGTTAAAACGTTTTTGTACATAAACTTAATAGGCTGTAAGCAGCTGATGAGGGGCCAACAAAATAAGCAGTGATGGTACTATATTATTCTGCGGAAATCACTGTTGTTCTTGCTTTATTCTAAACAGATAATGTAGCAACAACACTATCATGACGGCATACGACATGTTACTATGCTACTCAAACTCCCATTTGCACATTTAGAAAAAAAACAGATTGAGCGAAGAATTATACATTCCTTTTCAATTAGTTCCTCATCATCGGCTCTACATTAATATAGAGTTTTTCACATCAAAATGTTTTGCCAATCAAGTGATTATTTTAATTAATCTGTTTTAGGTATAGGAGAGGGGTGAAATTAAGAGGTTTAAGGTGTTAATAACAAGATATCTAAGTTTTAAAAGTGGAGTGAAAATTATTTACGGAATTCAATATAAGTTGATTTTTAGACGTTGGCAACATGTTATTACATAATCAAGAAATTTGTAAAATAGCAATGATGACTAAGAAGAATAGGATGACTCTGAAGAGTTAAGTAAAATACAAACAAGTTAAGAGAATTAGCTAGAATTGTAAAAATTAACAAAGTCAAAAGATAGTTACAAGGGGAGGGGAAAAACTCGTTTTTAAAAACTTGTGTAGTTTGCCATGGCAAAGAAAGCAACTGTACAAATTTATTTTGAGGTCACAGATTTGGCTTGTTCAGATGGATTCCGATTGCCTCTGCTGTATGTAAAAGTCATACTCGTAGACCATGCGGCGAGAGGTTGAGTGATGTCCAGTATCGACGCAATGAGCTATTGTGCTGCGTATGGCAGCTTCATTCGAACCTTTGCCAAGCCAAGATGGGAGGTGTTCAGAAATTCGACGATGAACTTGCCTGATCGTACGCCCTATGTAACTAGCTCTGCACGAGCAGTTAAACTGGTAAATACACGTAGAAGAGGCTAAACAAGATAGTTTGTCATTATTTCTTGAACTAAGTATTGGTCGGCTAGTGAATACACAGCATAGCTTAGCTGTGTTGAAATTCCTTTTGAAGGCTCTTTTCAGTCGTTGTGATAAGATCTCACTATTGACATTACCCGTCAATTGTAACCTTAGGAAGGCTGACTCTTTGGGAACAGTCAGCAACTTCGACTTTTCACTTTCTGAGTTAACTTGATTGGTAAAACATTTTGATGTAAAAAACAACTATATATTAGTGTACAGCCAGCCGATGATGAGGCACTAATTGAAAAGGAATTTATTTCCACGCTCAATCTATTGTTTTTCTAAATAAGTATAAATGTTCACAAATACTAATTCGCTAATATTCCCACATCTTTTTGAAATAATTTTTGATGTTTAGAACAATTAGTTCCCTTAATGAATTTAGATAGAGCAATAAGAAGACGTAATTTGTCTGAATCGTGTAATGTTGTATTTGTTCAACATATTTCGAACAATCTGATCACACACACGGACTTGTGCGTGTGGACACACATACATAGGGTGGACTCATCGATCTCTGCGAGTAAGGGCTTCAGAGCGTATTCCTAAATTGCTCCAGAAACAAATAGAATCTTCAAAACCCATTAATGGTGAGAACAGGAGACATACTATAGAGACAGGACATAAAATTGACGTTAACAGATCTTTTAAACCTATCTATGAAACCTGTTTGGGACGTATCCTAAAGTTTGTGGAAGCCCTAGCTGGCAATTGGGAAGTTTAAACTACCTCTAATGCCTTCAAAAACAATTCGTCATCACATTAGACCTTCCTTGGTCAACTTTGTTTTGATACCATAGCAGCTGTACTATTACCTCTGTTATTTGGTTTTAGTGGTCTTCATTGTTATTTTGACCTTCGATATGTCCTTTTAACTTGACTTAAGTATATTTTCTCACCTCTTAACTCTTTATTAATTTCGTATGTATATATTCCCATGACAAGTCCGTGTGTGTGATCAGATTGTTCGAAATGTGTTGAGCAAATACAACATTACACGATTCAGACAAATTACGTCTTCTTATTGCTTTATCTAAATTTTTGATATGTTGCTACCGCTAAATAATACGCTTAATCTATCGTCTGTTACATACGATGTCCTAAATGGGGTAAACGGTAAACAAATGTCATATAAGATATTTTTATATTAGGCATATCTTAGTTAAAAAAGTTGAAGTTTTTATATACTTCCTTCTCATGTTTCCAATGTTTAATTTATATTTAACTTTCACTTAAAGTTACAGCTAATGTGTAGTCCTTAAGACATGGTTGAATTGCGGCTCGTTTTTACCCAAGTGGGTCATGGGTTCGAACTCCTCTCCAACTACCGACGTTTAGACAACCTCACACACCGCGATACCTGTGGCTCATTGTCAGCTGCATAGAACTGCAAGTGGCTGTCGATTAACACTTCAATATCATTTTATATTATCTTACCCCACACTTTGACAAACATCACCAAAGTTCATATGAAAACATACCAATGATATAAAGAGAGAACCTGGTTTATAAGAATTAGCAGAATAGTCAGGAAAAGAGATGGCTACATCAGCCACCTAACCTACTAAATGCACTTATCATTTATGTAATTCTTAACGCTGTAGTTTCTTTACACATTGCAATGCAACGTTTCAAATTATCTCCTAAATATCAGCCAATATCTAGTCTCATGGTATCACATTGAAGACAAAACCCAACTAGATTTTTTTCTCTCACCACGTATTAGTGTGAAACCTTCACCTTTCACCATAGTAACTGTTTCCAAGCTTTCAATTTCATCGAATTTTACAGCTCATAAACCAAACTTGTTTTATTTTAACTACATTTTTATATATACAGGATTCAGAAACTGAACGCATGCGATATATCTGTCCACGATGTGAATGTAGTCTCAGACCAGATTTGAAACAAGTTCTAGAACTTCTTGTAGAACTTCGCGATCTTACAAAGCTCAAAAGTGATTCAAAGCAATATCAAGCATTGAATAATAATACTACGAGGAATGCTATTAATATGGAAAACAAGTGTACACAAGATCTATATTTCCATCAATTCCCAGAATTTGTTGCAGTTCAACTACTCTGTGATCGAGCTATTTCATTTATCAAACATATTGAAAAGTCGATAGCGGTTAGTTTACAATGTTTGTATTTTTATTTTACTTTCCTTGAAGTTGTATTACTACTAATCCATATCCTCATATTGCTATATTAACTGGTTGGGTTTTCTTTCCACGCTTTACCTTCCGATCAGAACATGGTTCTTCAAGCACTGAAGTCCCTGCGGTGGTGGCTTTGTGTTTACCGCCAGGGGTTGCTGGCCTTACGCCCAACCTCCTCTCATTTCCCAGCATACTACTACTACTACTACTACTACTACGGGCTAGGAGTAAATCAGGAAAGGTTTGGCAGTGTGTCAGTTGGAAATTGAACCTGCATCACGTGTGTGGAGTGGTTGGCGAATATTTTGCGATTGAACTATCGCCACAGTGGTAAATGCATATATAAAACAACTAAGTTCTATCCGTCTGACAGGATAAATTATTATTATTATTATTTTATTCCTTTAAGTCCCCAGTGGAACATAGGGCTTCAAGCAAGAGCTTTAAAGTTTCGGTAGCAATGGTGTTTATATTTTTCTGCGGGATGGGGTTGCTTACCTCATGCCCAGCCTTCCGTCTCTACCAATCTTATTACTGGTTTAGCGAGGTATAGGAATGTGTCGGCCGTGGATCGAACCCTGAACTACCTGCGTGGTTGGCGAACACTATTCCGCTGTGCTACCGACGCACTGGATAAGTTATGTGATACATTCTTTATGTGTAAATACTGTAAGTTTTATAGTGAATTTCGTGTTTTCTTTCACTCACTCACTTAACGTAACGAGTTACAAATAGGTTCCATAAATACGAATATTATTTATACAATTTTTTCTTTACTAGCTCACACTATATTTATTTATATTTATTTCCTTTTTATAGTCCAATAATGAACTGAAACAAGCCTTAGCGGACTATGAGCTTTTCTCTAACATGACAATGCCTTCATTCGATTTGATGGAGGAAGATATTAATGAGGAATTAATTAATTCCTCGGATGAAAACGATGATGTTCCAGTCGAGTGTAAAAAGAAATATCAGCGTGTACGCCCCATATCTCCTAGTCGTAATTCATCGTCAGTTGATCATGACCGTTCTATATCTGCTGCTGGTGGTGTTCGAGATTTTATTCCAAAGTCTGTACGTAATTATCGTGAAGCTGATAGGATTAAAGCACAACCACACAATCGTTCATATTTATCTACAGGCAAACCTCGAGCAGGGATGGCTATGCCACTGAAGACACCATGGAAACCAATGAATTCAGCCGCATCAACGGTAAAATAGTTATGCATTCGTATATTTTTAGCTTAATAATTTTAAGAAGATTCTCTACCGTATATTAATTTGCTAGTCTTTTTTGATATTACCGCCTAGGATCCTATGTATCTCTCTTCTCCGACTCTAGAACCATTTAATCTATTCACTTAGTATTGTTTTCAGTGTTCTTGACCTGGTAAGTCGGTCTGCTTATCTCAAATGCCTTGAATTTTCTGTGGCGATTGGATTGATTTTCTGGGTTAGGGTCACTAGTTCGACCCCCAACCTTCCCTCTTTTCTTGGACTTAAGCCTAGCTAGATTACTGGTGAACTAGTAAACAGGCTTCAAACTTTTATCAGTAGCTGCCTTCTCTGACTCCATACTGAAAGAATTAGCAGTAAAGAGCTCTGGAAACTAACTAACCAAGAACTTATCGTTCAGCAAATGAGCCGAAGGAAATCGACCTGGATAGGACACGTGTTGAGGCGATCCTTAAGTAGTGGCTGTGCGCTCCAGGCCATCTCTTGAATAGACCTCGAATCAAAAACGACGAGTTGGACGTCCAAGGATAAAATGGAGATCATGTGAAGAAGAGATGACTAACTGTAGGCAGTCGTGGAGCCAGCTAAAGAAGATTGCAGAGAACAGAAGAAAATGGAGATGTTTTGTTGAAGCTCTATGTTCCACTCGAGCTGGCTGGATTCAACATAGAACCTGGTACAGATGTGCAGCATTTCGATTTATCACACTACCTTCTTGTAGCACACAAAGCAAGAGAAGAGAGTAAAGAGAGATAGTAAACAGATGTATGAGTGAGGGAAAAAGAATAGTAATATGGAAGAACAATAGAATTTTATTGGATATTATAAATCACAAAGAGTGGATGCATCTGTGCGAGCCATTGAGAACGATTTTTTGCCATATCACCAATTATCTCCAGCCGTTATAGGTTTTTACTATCCTGAGGACCTCAAGCAGTAAGGAATTCTACACCTCCCTCTGTGACTAGGTTAAACTAACTGTTATGGATTTCATTGACTGATGTAGACATGTTTTGGTTTAACCACCGGTAGGTAGCTCTTTTCCAACCTGATCCATCCTATGTCAGCTAACACTGCTGCTCGTCGAGGAAGCTCACGTTTCTTGAAACAAATATTATTTAGTTCAGATACTTTGTAGATTCTATGCATACAAGTTTAGAATGACACAATTTTGAAATATTTTAGATATGTACTCACTCTGAACTGTCAGTATTATTGCTTCGAAACCAGTTTCCTTTGAACTCTTTACGTGTTGCTAAAAATTTGGTTATCTGAAAAGAATTACTGTGTTAACGACTGGAAGGAAACTCGAAGTTAACAATAACTCTTTCCAAGTTAGATAATCAATGGAAGTGAGTTATTCACTTATGCTACTTTTTATCTGAAGTCAAGTAACACTGACAGAATTATACGGGGTGAATTGAAGATGTGGCTTATGGGCTATAGTGAGCGTTTGACTTTCAGCCAATGGGTCTTGGTTTTGAATCTCGCTTCACCTACTCCAGTTTAGGCAAGTAGGTAGTATCATCTGCTTGCGCGCAGTAAGTGTTGGCTCATAGTCTAGAACATGAAAGACCTCTTGTAGGGTCTTAATTCAAACAAATAAACAAACAAAAAAGTTTTTACGAATTGATCACGGATTGATATCAGTTAGAGAACCACTGAAAGCCAGGGAGTACTGGATAGCTGCTGTTTCATCCTAGTTTTTGGGAATCACCCACTGGGATTCGAACCCAGGACCTTCCGATTACAAGGCAAGCTAACTCGTATACCATTCAGCCACCAGTGGGACCCGATTCAATGGCTCATCAATTCTAACTACCTTACAAACCAAACTATAGAAAATTAATCTGATGCTCGCTAATAACTTGCTACAGGATGGTGTTTCCCGGAGTTCTAGTGAGAAGTCGTGACCAGTGAGGTCCAATTGGATGTCACGTGTGTGGATGGACGTCCCACTAACGATAATGCTTGGGGTCGCGCTAAATCACGAATTGGTAGAAGTTGGAATTCATGGGCTGGTCATTGAATCGGGTCCCACTGGTGGCTGAATGGTATACGAGCTTGCCTTGTAACCGGAAGGTCCTGGGTTCGAATCCTAGTGAGTGCGTACTCCCGATGATTCCCAAACTGGGATGAAACAGCAGCTGTCCAGTACTCCCATCTGGTTTTCAATGCTTCTCTAACTGATGTAAATCGTGATCAACTCGTAAAAACATAACTAACCCTTACAAACCAAACTATACAAAACAAACAAGTGGTTTGAATCACCTCCTGAAAGTTTAAAAATTCATGTTCATTACAAGTCAGTAAGTGCATACATACCATACCACAGTTAGTGAGTTACCACATTAGCAACATGTGTATAGAATCTTCTGTTGAAATTGGATTACTTCCGGAATATTTGTATGTGAAGATGAATTTTTTACCAATGGCTTCTTGAATGAAACAGGTGTATTTAAAATCATAAGACAAAATGAATTCATGATAGGAATGATAGTCAAAACTTGTGACTATTAATTACTCACTCTTAGATCACGTGTATTTATTTAATCATTCTTTTTTACTAAGAGTTAGTATAAATAAATGTCAAATATGAACATCGTGATTAGCCATTGAGCACAGTCAGTAAAATAATCGCAAAGAAAACTTTAGTAAAAGTTGAGTCAAGTTTTTTTTTAAAATTTAAAAATAAGTTATCTGTATCTGGTGATGTTCGATTTTTTATTCCAAAGTCAAGGCTGGCCAAAGTACCAACAGTTCCGAAAAAGGAAGGCCTTATTCTTACATCTTCAGCTCCTTGGGGATAACATCAGTGAGATATTAACACAACGGCTAAGGAATACAGCGGTAAAAAGAGCATTCGGTGCTGCTGAATTTATGCTGTGTCTTCAAAACCACCGCAATTTTGCGTTCTGGAGCTAAAGATAAACTGCCTAATTTCGCCTTTTCTATGTGTATCTACCAATTTGACTGCTCCTGTGGAGCCAGTTAGTTGCATAGGCCGTACAATTAGGCGTCTTTCCCCTCGGATTTCTGAACATCAACCTGCGTGGCTAAGTAAAGGACAAACAAAATCCATTCACAGCCCTATTCTATCTCATCTTGTGGATACAGAACACAAGGTTACTGCTAACGAAGCTTTCAAAGTCATCTACCGTACACCAACCAACTAATCTTAACTTTACCTTAAGAGTTCGTCTACTACATATTGCTGAGGCTGGCTGTTGGGATCAACATTAAGAAACCTAACTTATGTATCCAAAAGAAGTTGGTTCAGACACAGTCCTCACCTTGCTGGCCATCAAGGTTTTAATATGATCCTCAATTTGTTGCTGTAGAGATTTCCTTAATTTTATTTGATATTCTATTTGCTATTACATTTTTATGCTTATTATAATTTATGCATCTTTCTTGAACTGTAATTCCACTGATCTTACTTAACAAATCGATAGTGTTTGAAAAAACGCCAATATTGTTAATGATGATTATTCTAGAATATTCTAAGTATATAAACATATACGTAATTGTGGAGCCGGAGAAAGAGTAAACTATCGAAAAGAATATTCTTTGCTCAAATTTTCTCTTGTTCACTTAAAAAAGTCTGTGACTGTGATGTTAGGCCTTTATCATGTTTCACTTTTGTTGAATATATCTGTCCATTAATTCTGATCACTATAATCAGTAAAGTCATGTTTTCAACTTTAATTGAAATAAACATTAATTCAGGGATCTAAATTTGCACTGCAAAGCGTTGAGGTAGCGGAATTTCTTTTCGACCTATTGAAGCACGAACGGTTTATCATCGGAAGGCGGCCTTCGACTCCGTCGACTGAGAGGTATTATGACAGGGTTTGGCCGTGAAGGGAATGCCGAAAAAGCACATTGCACTAATTAAGTCACTCTATTCGAACTCATGCGGCCATGTAAAATTTTACGGAAAGCTCTCATCTGTGGTGTTTGTCATGGATGCCCACTGTCCCCATGTAACAATAGAAGACAAGGGTTAGGCAACAGATCGTTTATTAAGGAAATCAAAGCATATTTATATATTTTCATGTACATTATTATAAGTTATTGTTAGCAGAAAAACACAGTCTTCTGATTGGTTGTTTCTCACTGAAAGTTAATCTTTCATCTCTTTGTGGCTGTTTCTTGAATGTCAAATCGTCCATATGCTAACTGTATCCGCCTACGTAAAGTCTGCTGTGGTTGGTTGTTGAATCAGCCTTTGTTCATATTTTTCTCACGACCAATATTGAGGACGTAAACATTGACGTAAATTGCCATCTACCAATTTGGCTAGCAGTCAGCTCTCACCACACCCATTTGTTTTATTTCATCATATATGTACTAACGGAATTAACCGTAGCTGAATTCAGTGACTTAGGGACTGAATTGTTACCAGGGAATAAATAGCCTAGTTAATATAGAATATGCGAACAATATACTCCTCCTAGATGAAGACGCTGCTAAAATACAGAGTCTTCTGAACACCATGAGCAGCAATCTCCGTACGTTTGGCATGCGATTCGTTTCTGTCAAATGCTACAGGACTGGGCCACATCGACTAATAGCCTTCACTTATTTGGGATATTATTTAATCAGCCCCGGCGAGTTGATCACTGACGAAATCTCAGTACAGAAGGCTCGTTTGGCATATGCCAACTTATGCCATCTCTGGCGGAGACGTGATATCTGGCTGGCTGTCGACCAAAGAACGTGTGTAGTGAAAACCAGTTGGCTCCTTTCTCCTTTACGAGTGAGAAATGACCGTTGAAAGTGGAAGACATGACTAGATTAGCTGTCGTAGATTGTATGTGTCAGCGTGATATCTCTCATCTTAGGTGGTATAATAAGACGAGTAATATTGAGGTTAGGCATCGGTCGAGTTTTAGGTAAAGAGAGGAAGCCAATCGGTGAAATGGTTGGGATAGGTGTTACGCATGCCTAGCCATCACCACCGTTCTCCACAGGTAATGTTAGACGACATTCGATCAGCTTTTGAAAGAGCTAGTTGATGGTGAAACTATGAAATCGTTAACAGTTAGCTTAAGGCAGACACATTGGGAGGTGTAGGCTTCCTGTCTGGGGTCCTCAATATACTGAGAACCAGTGACTGGAGACAATTAGTGGTGGTGATATGGCTGAAAATCGTTCTCAATGCACCGGCGCAGATGCATTTACTCTTTGTAGTCTGCTATATCCAATAAAAGCCTATTGTTTTACTATGTTACTATTGTTTCTCCTTGGCATTTCTACTTAATATCATTGTTATGAATCTCTTTTTCTGTCTTTTTTATCTTACTTTTTGTTCTACATGGAGAGTGTGTGTGCTATGTGGAACTGTTTTACTTCTATGCAAAGTGTTCTGAGGTTGACACGAGCCGCTGAGTCAGTCAGTTTATCATAGAGCCCTGAAATTGTTTATTTAATTAAAATAGATTTGTAGGCGTTTATTGAATAATAGTTAATTTGTTTCTATTGTTGTTCTATTTTTTATTAATGACATCTGACTTTTCTCCCCTGTTTGCTGTAGGCTGAAACACAGATGTCTCGTAATCCTGAGGATATTCGTTCAACATCATCCTCGTCTTCATCATCAACTTCAAGATTGCCTAATAATAATGTTGTAGAACCATCACATTTGTCAGACTATAAACAAAGTCAAAGATCTCGTCTATTAATGTCGAATAGCGGTGAAAATAATAATAATAATAAGAATAATAACAATAATACTAATAATCGTTTACGAATTAATTCTGGTGAACAGAAAGAAGCCGAGGCGGCTGAAGCATTAGCTGGTTTATCAGCATCACTGAGCAGTAGTAGTAGTAATCCACCGCCTTTGATGAAAAAAGATCCAGCCACTTTTAAACCGACATTTAAGCAACGATCTTATGGCAGTGTTAAAGTAGATGGTGGTGCATACAGGCCATTGAATAGTCGTGGAAATATACCTGGAAAGAAGTTGAATCCACACGATAATGGATTTAGTTCACGTTCAAAGGATCGATCTGATTCCAATTATTGTAAGTGAAGAGAGAATAATAATAGTAATAATTATTATTGTCTTTAAAAATTTAAAACAATTTTAGTTCCCTTTATGAATTTAGATAAAGCAATAAGAAGAAGACATAATTCTTCTGAATCGTGTGTGTATTGTATTTGCGCAACACATTTCGAACAATCTGATCACACACACGGACTTGTCATAGGAATATTATTATTATTATTATTGTTTCCTTTAATTCCTAGAGGAACATAGGGCTTCAGCTGCGCGTCTCCATTGCGTTCGGTTCTCTGCCTACATTTTCACCTGGCTCCAAGTCTGCCCACACGCTTTCATCCCCTCTTCACATGACCTCCTCCAAGTCACCCTTGCACTGACGATCAACTCGCCTCTTCCCTTTCGAGTTCCACTCGAGCAGTGGCTTGTGTAGTGATGTCACTTGATGGCTTCCTTAGAGTATGGCCAATGCATCTCCATTTCTTTCTGCTTATTTGTTTCACAATCGGTTCCTGTTCGGTTTGCTCCAACAGGTCTCAATTGCTGATCCTTTCTGGCCAGCCATCTGATCTTGAGTATTGAGAGAAGACAGCTGTTAATGAAGGTCTGTAGTTTGTTTGAGGTGCTCTTCAAGACGCGCCAAGTCTCTTATCCGTATAGTAACACTGACGGACTTCACATTGGAGTTGAAAATCCGGATGTTATTTTTGATGCTAAATGCTGTTGACCTCCACACAGACTTGAGAGTAGTGAAAGCTTGTCTTACTTTTCCGATTCTTGCTTTGATATCCTCGTCAGTTCCGTGGGCCTGTAGTTGAAACGATGCTTCCCAGGTGGGTAAAGGAGATTGTTTCTTCCAGGTTCCTCCCATTTATGCTGATCATTGTCTGTTGTTGTGGTTCTTGTCCAGGAATATTCATCACCTCTGTTTCCTCTATGTTAATCTGATGTCCTATATTTGATGCTTCTTCTACCAACTTGTTGCTTTTCACTTGCATATCTTCCAGTTTGTGAGAAATCAGATATATGTCATCGGCGAAGTCCAGATCCTCCAAGTTTTTTGTGTGAGTGCATTTTATGCCTGTGTCATAGGAATATATATATATATATATATATATATATATATATATATATAATTAATAAAGAGTTACATTGAAAATTTATCGGAGGATTTAATCGAAAATGTGCCACTTTATAGAAGGTATGTAGATGATATTGTAATCATCAGTGATAAGTCTTGTTCTGCCACCCCTCAATTTTAAATCGAATGAATGAAGTTCAGAATAGCATATTACTTACATCTGTCTGTAGAAGAGGAAGATAATTGTTTATCTTTCCTAGACATATTGCTTAGCCGACTGATGGCTTGATGGGTAAATAAAAAGATCTATTTATAGAAAACCTACCTGGACAGGACAGTATCTTAGTTAGCACAGTTTCTGCCCTGTTCGGTACAAAAGAGCTTTAGTAAGGTGTCTCTTCAGTAGAATTTTAACAAATATGCAATGAAGACACACTTAATGAAGAAGAAAGAAAGTTGATACAAACTCTGGTTGATAACAATTATCCAGACAAGTTCATCAGGAGATATAAAGTAGTCAAAACACCAAGACCCACTCTCCAGCTCACTGCTAAGAAAGACGTGTACATCAAGTTACCCCATATGGGGCTAGACATATATTGGACGCTGCTGTTAAAAAGACTTTTTATGCAGCTAATATCATAATAATTGAGAATATGAAGTCGATAAATACATCTAAGCCCTCCGAACATGCGAAAAATGATGTCACATCCCACTGTATTTACCAATTTGAATGTACGTGGGGACACACATACATGAGGAGGATTCACCAATCTCTGCAAGAAAGTAAGGGCTTGCTTCAGAAGCAGACGGAATCTTCAGAACGCGTTAATGATGAGAACAGGAGACCAAGCTTCTCTACTGCAAAACATATTATAGAGACAGGACATAAAATTGACGTTAACAGATCTTTTAAACCTATCTATGAAGGGTGTTTGGGGCGTATCCTGAAGTTTGTGGGAGCCCTAGCTGGCAATTAGAAAGTTTAAACCATCTTTAATGCGTTCAAAAACAATTCGTCATCACATTAAACCTTCCTTGGTAAATTTTGTTTTGATACCATAGCAGATGTATTATTACCTCTGTTATTTGGTTTTAGTGGTCTTCATTGTTATTTAGACCTTCAGTGTGTCCTTTTAACTTGACCTAAGTGTATTTTCTCACCTCTTAACTCTTTATTAATTTCATACATATATATTCCCATGACAAGTTCGTGTGTGTGATCAGATTGTTCGAAATGTGTTTCGCAAATACAACATTACACGATTCAGACAAATTACGTCTTGTTCTTATTGCTTTATCTAAATAATTATTGTGCACTGCTTATGACAATAAAAGCTGCAGTATCTATTATATTTGTATTTACAATTTTCTAAATAGGCTGTGCAAGTTAAAAGTGTATGCGTTTATTGTTATTTATTGTAAGAAAGTCTTCAGCATATACTGTTAATTGACACTATAATGTTCAGCTGTACTGGCGGTAGCTACAGTATGATTCATCGCTTGCAAGTAATATTTAATAGCCACCGTGTAACCGATTACGTCATAACTTCTGACATCTCCTCTTCTGACTGAATCTTAGTTTACTGTGGTAACTTTTACGTCTTGCTGTTTATTTTCGATTGTTGGTTTGCAGGGGTTTGATCAGTTACGGGTTTAGTCACAAGCTGACTTCAGTTAGAGAGAACCATTAGAAGACCAGGGAGTACTGGACAGCTGTTTCGTCCTATTTTTGGACTGTTCAGCAGTCCTTTCCGGTTACAAGGCAAGCTTCTAAACCATTCAGCTACTGGAATTTGATCCATTAGCCCATGAATTCGTGATATACAGCGCAATCACCAGGCAACATCATCGGTTGTCTTGTATATCTGTGCAAAGTTAAACTTTAAGCCACCAACGGAGTGTGTCCGCACCAGTGACTTTGAAACGCTTACTGAGCAAATTAGTGAACCCTGGTAAATAATGTTGTCATCATCAATAGAATGTGCTCATCGAAGTGTTATGCTTCCAAATGGGATGTGTGGCAATTTTCAGCTTAGGTTTGAGAAAGATTAAGTTAGGCTTTAAATGAAGGACAAGTTAGGGTTAGGTGAACTTAATAAAGGCGAAATTAGGGATGGTTCGAGTTAAGGGATATTTTCACGTCAGGGTTAGGTTCAGAAAAGATTAGGATTATTATTAGGGTTAGAAGACCTAAATAATTACATGCATATACTGTGGTTAAATTTCTCTGTTGATATAAGAATAGAACTTGTACACTGTGTGGTAGAGTATAATTCCATTCTGGGCAAAATTTGTTTTGATGTTTCGAGCACAATTTATTAATCAGGAAATATTACTGTGTTACACTAAGAGACTTTATCAAAATATATCCTACCCACAATGGAATGGAATTATACTCTGTTGATACTCCTACCTACAACTGGGAGCTATTTTTATCACACATGTGAGAGGAAGGTATCCTCTGTAACACTTTTATACAGTTTCTATGCATGTTTAAAAAAAATAAATATATGTATTCCGTACACAAAAATGCCTCCTTCACGTGATTCGTGCGTTCGAGGTCATTCACTGATTGGTGGCAGTTAGTAGTGCTTAAAGTTTAACTTTGTCTATATCTGTTTGAGATCACTGTTGAAATTCGTCACTCTTGTTCATATGATGTATTCGAGATGCATCCGTTTAGCATCCTTACATACTCAGAGTTGTTGGTAGCAACGTATTAGTGAAGAGATTAGGAAGAAAATTGTGTGAGTTTTGTTGTATCTACTTCTTTACAGGTTTCATCATAAGCTGACATCAGCTACGGAACCATTGGAGAACCTGAGAGCATGCTGGACAGCTGTTTCGTCGTTGTTGATCAGACTTTGATCTTGTTGTTTCTGAGGGATGGATACTGTGTTCTGCCGACTAAACTCAAATCCCCGGGTGGTGATTGCCTTGCAGGAGTAATTCAGCTTCAGTATGTATACATCCTATTTCATCTCTGCAATACTGAAAAATGTGTTACTAAGGAATACGCTGGACGACCGATAAGAATACTGAGGCGTGGATGATATACGTCTAATCTCACACAAACTCGAGGACTTGCAAGCGAAAACCAATAAACTGGCTAAAGTGGCAGTGAAAACAGGACTACATATGAACACAGGGAAGACGGAGGTGATGAAGGTAACCAATCAACAGCAACAACAACCAGCACCAATAACCATCAACGGGCGAGATTTGACGGAGGTTACTTTCCTCACTTATCTAGGAAGCACGGTTTCAGCCACAGGAGGAGACCACGGATGAAGATGTGGATGGTAGTCAGATTCGGGAAGATAAGATACTCCGTCATCAACCTGAAACCAGTTGGAAAATCTTCTGCTTCACTCAGTCAGCCAGCAGAAAGAACAAGATTCGGATTCTATTGAACACAAATGTGAAGTCGATTCTTCTCTAAGGGTCAGAAACTTGGCGTGTCACACAAAGGATTTCCAACAAGTTGCAGACTTTCATCAACAGCTACCTTCGCTGGCTCCATAATGAAGATCAAATGACCAGCTGGCCAGAAAGAATTAGCAACAAGAAACTCTGACTTGCGACAAACCAACCGGTGAGAGCCGATTGCTGAGCAAATATGTAGGAGAAAGTGGAGATGGATCTGGCATACATTGAGGAAGCCACCGAATGACATCGCCCGCCAGGCCCTCGAGTGGAATCCAAATGGGAAGCAACGAGTAAGTTGCCCTAGGGTGGCATTGAGAAGACCGTGTGAGGAAGAGATGAGAAAGTTCAGCCAACCATGGATCCAGATGAAGAGGACAGCAGAAAACAGAACAAAGTGGAGATGTGTTGTTGAAGCCCCCTGTGTTCCACTCGGAACGCAAGGGAATAATAATAATAATATAAAGTGTTTTGCCGATAAGAAATTATGATTGTCTAAGTTTTTAAAATATTTTTTGAATATTCTTATGCAGGTTATTATTCTTTTTTATTTTTTTGACTTTTTATTTTGAAATTTACAGTTCATAAGTCTAACTCTAGTCACGTTTTATCTTCGAAAAATCACCATCATGATTCTGGTTCATCGAATCGTCTTAATCATTCACGTGGAGGAGTAACCAGTGAAAGTGAATCTACAAAATCTTTAACATGCTTACAGTCAACAAGAAGATTCTTTTTCCCCCTGCCTTCTGAAGCTCGTAGATTATTAGAAAAATTAATTATGGAAGCGTGTTTACTTGAAGTTCACTTACCACAAACACGTTGGTTATGGCAATTGCATTTAGCTTCAGATCAAGAGACAGCTGCCTGTGGTGCACATCATCCATCTGTTGCAAAGATTGAAGAAGAACGCCTGAAACGTCGTATTGCACGTCATCTTGAACAAATCAGTCAATTAAAGCTGAAAACAATTGATCATCAATCAAAACCTGGTCGACGTAAACGAAAACCTCCTCCTAGTATTACAGATAATTCTGGCAGTGTAGATACAAAAGTGGAACAATCAGATGATAGTAATGTTTCATCGAGTGAAAAAAGTGTACTGCAAAACCGTCAACATTGCACTCCTGTGTGTTCAGAACCTGAAGAGAAACAAAGCAGCAATTCAACAGTTTCTGATACAGTTTCTCGTGTTGTCACATCTGTTGCTAGGCGAAAGGTTTGTAACTTTTTATTGCCTTTAGGTTAATTCTGTTGTTTGTTTTTTAAATACTAAGGATTTTAATTTAAAAATACTCCGTTATGTCAAGCTATGCTAAGTTTATTTGTTGAAATTAAATTCGCCATTTACTCGAACTCCAAAACTAGCGAAAATATCCTCTGGTATTTTGTTAACTTCGACCTGACTAACTTGCAAATACTAATGGTTGATTTGAGTGGCATTCAACTACTTATTTCGACCAATCAGTAGTATGCAGTTTCATGCAATTATTACTGGCTGATTGACTGACTGGTTTCAACATAGAACTTTGCACAGAGGTGCAGCAGTTCCAGTTGCTACACTCCCTCCTTGTAGCACACAAAGCAAGAGAAGACAGTAAAGCGAGATTCAAAAGAGAGATAATAAACAGATGTATGAGTGAGGGAAAAACAATAGTAATATGGAAGAATAATAGAATTTTATTGGATATTATAAATCACAAAGAGTGAATGTATCTGTGCCAGCCATTGAGAACGACCTTGAGCCGTACAATGAGAGGACCGCAAGCAATCAGAAAGTCTACACCTTCCTGTGTGCCTAGCTTAAACTAACTGTTGTGAATTTCATTGACTGATGAAGCCATGTTTTTGTTTGACCACCACTAGCTAGCTCTTTCCCAACCCGATTATATGTCAGTCAGCTAACATTGTCCCTTGAGGAAGGCGATGACTAGGTATGCGTAACACATGTCCTAACCATCTCAATCGGTATAACTTCACAACCTCGTTGATTGATTTCACCTCCTTACCTAACACTTGACTGAAGCCTAACCTTAATACTGCTCACCTTATGATACCACCTAACTTAAGAGACAGAACTCAGACACCTATGATCTACGACAGCTAGCCTTTTGGTATCTTCCACCTTCAATGGTCATGTCTTGCTCACAAAAATCAATCGACGAGGCTACAAAGTTACATAGATTGAAATGGTTAGGTCACGTGCTGTGCATGCCTAACCATCGCCTCCCCCGACGGACGGGCATTACTAGCTGATATAGGTGCAGGTTGGAAAAGAGTATAAGTGGTGGCCAAACAAAAACATGGCCTCATCAGTCCATGAAATCCTTGACAGTTAAACTGAGTCAGGTAGGGAGATGGAGACTTCCGGGTTGGGGCCCGCCCTCTGGACTCTAAGAATCAATGGTGGCTGGAGACAATAGGTGACATGGCTCAAAATCGTTGTCAATGGCTTACGCAGATGTATTCAGTCTCTGTAATCTTTCATATTCCTTTCTACCATTACTCATTCTGTTTTACTCTTATACTTGTCAAAACTCTATTGATTCTCTTCACTCATTTTCTTGTCTACCTTTGTGTGCTACTTAGAACGTGGTAACTAGAACTGCTGCACTTCGGTGCCAAGTTCTATGTTGAATCCAGACAGACAGACAGAGACCTGTGTAGATTGCTAGCCAGTTTGTAAAGTGTGAATTTGATTTTTTGAATTAACAGTTCATCTAAGCAGATAGCCAGACATCGAGTAATATGAATTGATTCGACTTCCTCAGATGAGTCAAACCGCGTGCACACCGCTAATAAGTTCGGCCTGAAACAATCGAAACAGCCGTCCTGTGTTTAGATCTGGTTAATATGAGTGATGCACTACTACTCATCTCAATGAATCAGTAGTATATAGTTTTTATGCAGTGTTTCAATTTTTTGTTTTTGTTTTTCATTCAGCCATATCGTCCTCGGGGTAGTGCACCAGAAGTGGCTATTGCACGGCGATATAAATTAGGCAGACCAAAACGTGCATTACCTGTCCGAAGCTATCGATCAATTCATCGACCAACTCATGCTATCGGGTATAGATCTGTGCGTACAGAGGGACAGCAACAGGAGTATGTTTCTAGTATACGAGATGAACTAGAGCATAAAATGCACAGAATTCTGTCGACTAAGAACAGTAAATTGCGAGGGAACAATCGTACAACGAATCTGGGGTAATTATGATTTCTTAATTTGTTTGTTTTTTTTTTGTTTTGTTACAATCGTATTTCTATGATTAAATATTGATTAACTTAAAGAATTTTCTGTCAAACGATGTAACGCGTGTTTGTTTGTTTCCTTATTCAATTGTTGAAGACAGTGAACCCTACTCACTGAAGTTAAAATTAACTTATTAGCATAATGAGAAACTTTAGTAAATGAAACTTTATTTGTAATTATTATTTATTTATTTTATTCCTTTTCTTTCCAAGTGGAAAATAAGGCATGAAGCTGGAGTTTGGAAGTTTTGGTAGCAGTAGTGTTTATTTTTACGGGATGGGATTGCTAGTCTCATGCTCAACCTTCCCCCTTTACCAGTTTTTTTACTGGTAGAGAGTGCGTCGGCCAGGGATCGAACCCTGAACCACCTGCATGGTTGGCGAGCATTCTACTGCTGTTCCACCAACGTATTTGTAAATCTGACACTAATTCAACCGATCTAACAGCGAGACAAATTTTCTTTTCGATAAATCATTTTCAAAAGCTTCGAATACACTAGCATTTATACATAGCCGGATTACTGGTCATTTGGAATCTGAAATACGGATCTCTGCGTTCAAAAGCATTACACACATGTATTCGCTTTATCACAGCCATAGTAAATATTCTTCTTCACCTTCTCGAGATATTTACAAAGCTCTACCAAAAGGGAGAAATGATATGAACCATATAAGTCAATTTGAAAAGTTAACTCAGTATTTCCCATGAATGCAAGGAATTATATACGAAATACCTCTTTTTATATTAGCACTGCTATATTGTGTGATATTTATGAGAAGGAGATTAAGACAAAATGATTGTTTCTCTTATCTTTATCTATGCTGAGCTCTTGTCTTCCTTGACAGTCAGTGTTAGCTGAAATAGGATTATTTTGGAAAAGGGTTAGGGGTGGGATGGTCAAACAGAAACCTGGAATCAGTCCATGAAAACTTCGACAGTTTGTTTAAGCCAGCCGTGTAAGCGGGGTGTAGGTTTCCTGGCCAGGGTCAATGACTGAGGACTATTGGAGATTATGGCTCAAAATTGTTTTCCATGGCTGGCGCAGATGGATTCAGTCCTTGTGATCTCCCTGTATCCATTAAACCATATTACATTTCTGCTTATTTTGATACTTTTGAACCACTTTCTTCTCTTCTCTCTTATGTCTTCCTTTGTGTTCTACATGGAATATAGTGACTGCTATCTTGAGACTCAGTCAAATTAGTCAGTAGTTCATCGTGTAAGTTATAATGAAAGGCGGATTATCTATTGTTTAGTGACTAGTCGAAAGTTGTGATTTAATGGACAGGTAAATATGAACTCTTTATTCCCCTTTTACTTCGTTTTTCTTCTGCTATTTGTGCTGCATACACTGGCAGTCTAACAGTTGCCACAACACGCCTCTTCTTCTTGATTTACTAAATACAATCGGTACGTGCGTGTGCGTAGGTGGCACAGTGGTTGGGACGCTCGCTGACCATGCATATGGCCTGGGGTTCGACCCCTGGCCGACTCACTCCTTTACCTCACTAAGCCAGAAATAATGCTGGTGAAGAGGGAAGGTTGTGCATGAGGCTAGCAACCCCATCCTGTAAAAAACACTGCTACAGAAACTTCAAGCCTCTAGCTTGAACCTCTATGTTCCACTGGGGAACGTGAAGGAATAAAAAAAATCGGAATGGGATGTTTTTCATGTGAAAACGTAATTCAGATGTGTGTTTTTTTAAAAGTGTACTTTCTACCTGCCATATATCTTGTTAAATTCTCTCATAACGTAAAAGGAAATCTTGTAAAGGTGTTTTATCTTCTGTATTTAGTCGAAACATTCGCCAATGTTATTCCTTACATTAACTGTACGCTATGCTCACTAGTCCACATAGTATGTGATGCAATAAATGATAATAATATATTCATCAAATTGATATCAGGATAAAACTTAGGCATTATGGTAGAGTATAACTCCATTATGGATAAAATTGTATTTTGAAAAAATCACACAGTGGTGTTATATAGTAGTAATATTTACTGATGGTCACGTTTCGAGAACAATTTATCACTGCTGCTCATAATCATATCAAGGCACTACTCACACAAATTTCTTGCTTCATTTATATACATGAGTAAAAATTGATGATTAGACATTTGAATTAAACCAATATAAGATAGAGGACATTCGGAAATAGTATTAGTGTTATCAATCAAATACACTAAGATGTTTTTATAGTAAAATAAATGACTTGTTAGAATGTGTTATAATTTACAAAATACCTTGCAGTGACTGTGAGTGAGGTCAACTACATAGGTCAAGACTAGTAGATCAGGAGTAGTGAGATTATCAGAAAATAAGAATTTAGCTAAGGTTAGAATGGTTCACCTCGCGAAGATAAGTAATTTAGAAAATAGCTCGGCACTACATTGCACTGCACGCATTAACACACAACCACACAATATGGTGGGTGGGACAGAGTCAAAATTCTAGAGAGTAATATAGAGAGGTGGAGAGAGATTGATTACTGAATCCTGGTTCATCGAGTCTACACCCAACACAACACATGTAATAGAAGTGACTCAACGTAAATACCAGAGATATGCATGGTGGATAATAAATAATATTAAAATGTATTCAATTCACATTATAATAGTCTAGGAAATTACTTATTTTTACTTTAAAAACATCTTATTTCCCATCTTATTGTATTTTGTTGATGACACTTCCTGCCTTCTTTAATAACTCTAATATTATTTCTGAATGTACTTTATCTTATATTGATTTCATTTAAATGTCTAATCATCAATTTTTACTCATGTATATAAATGAAGCAAGAAATTTGTGTGAGTAGTGCCTTGATATGATTATGAGCAGCAGTGATAAATTGTTCTCGAAACGTGACCATCAGTAAATATTACTACTATATAACACCACTGTGTGATTTTATCGAAATAGAATTTTATCCATAATGGAGTTGAGTTACTCATCAAATGAACTTGAGATTTTCACAAACTGTTAAACTGAAGTGTCTGCCAAATTTTTGTAACCACTAAAATTGCTCACACTGCCTTGCAATGTGGTAACTAGGGAAAAACATGTTATCCTTCGTTATCTTTTTTTATCAGAATCCAAAAAACAAGATCGCCTGTCAATTTTTTCTTTTAATATTGTTTATAGTAAACAGTCATTTTTGTCTTCTCGAAGAAGTGGGCGAGTATATCGTGGTGAACGCATGGTACGTCGACCGTTTGTATGCTCACACAATGACTATAGTGATTCATCTGTAAGTGAGGAACACATGGATACTGTTGAGGTAAGTAAAATCTCTGTTGCTATTGTGTCTAATTGATGAAAGCTCTCTGTTTATTACACAATTGAAAGCTTTATCTCGCCAAGGAAGTTACGTTGATTGGTCACTAGAAGCCTTAGGGGTGAACTGAATTCCATCCGAAGATTATGATTATTTTAGGGCAGAGCTCTATATCACAAATTGGGCCAAGTGTGGTTGTGAATAGCCAGCAAACTAGGTCGGGTAACCTGAATGTCTCGGGTTCACTCCCTGGTTGTGTCGTGGTTGTGGACTGCTGAAGAGTTTCAGAAAAATGGGAGGAAACGACTGTCCGGTGCTCCTTGGTTTTCATTGATCTCTTTATCTGATTTTGGTTCGTGAGGAAATTTGATAATGGGATTCCATTTGTTAAAGTTCACAGTACAGTCAGGAAACTCTTTACATGTTCTAAAACGATCAGCTGTCGAAAGTTACGATTATTTAAGTAAAATAAGTCTCGGAAAGTTCTGCGTATTCGGAGATTAATTGGTACAGACATTTCTGTGGTTTCCTAATGAGTTAGGCGGTAAAATATCCCATCCGAAAGGTAGGACAAGGTTTCCACCCACCCCCTCATAAAATAATGATTTCCGTTGTATTCACTTCCCATTATTCTGAAGCTGTTTGTTATCGCCCGTCATTTATTTATTTCTTGATGTTGATTTCTATTTACTAAGATAATCTTCGTATCTTCTTTTTTGTTGCTAATTACATCTGAATTCATTAGCCCACGTTAAATGACCAGTATTCATCATCGAGAAATGAATCATCAGATTACTGTAAAATGATGTTGACCGCCAATCATTCTAATTATAATTCAGGAATGGGTGGTAAAAGATCAGAATTTCGACCACATAAACAAGATGAACGTCATTCATCTGTAAGAAATACAAATGAAAGTGAACAATATGATGATGATGATGACGAATCTGCTTCAGAAGATCAATTGTCCAATAATGAAGATGAAAGATGTCCTGCCAGGCCTTGTCTTAATCCACGTACTGGTACGGTGAAATGGGTCCAATGTGAAGCATGTTGTCAATGGTATCATCAAATCTGTGTTGGAATTCGTCATCAATATCAGGTATAATTATTTGAATTATTATTATTTTTCTGATGTTACTTGTATATCTTGATGTGTGCGATTCATTTTTATTTCAAAAATTTTGTATTTAGCATATGCTTTTTTAAAACCAATAACAACAACAACCAGCACCAATCACTAACCAAAGGGAGACAATTGACAGAGGTTACTTCTAGCTCTCAACTTATCAGGCTAGGAAGCATGGTTTCAACCACAGGCGGACATTGAGGATGAAGATGTCAATGCAAGTCAGAATCGGAAAGACAATATACACCTTCATCAATTTGAAACCAGGTGGGAAATCTTTTGCTGTCACTCAGCCAGCCAGCAAAAGGACAAGATTCGGATTCTATTCGACATAAATGTGAAGTCAGTCAGTCAGTTAATACTTCTACACGGGTCAGAAACTTGCACTGTGTGTCACGAAAAGGGTTTCCAACTGGTTATAGAGCCTTAACAACAGCTGCCACCTTCGCTGGCTGGCTCCATACTGAAGATCAAATGGCCAGCCGGCCGGCTGGCCAGAATGAATTATCAACAAGAAAGTCTGTCTGGGAACAAACCAACCAAGATCCGATTGCTCAACAAAAATGGAGAGGAAAATGGAGATGGATCATCGTGCATACATTGAGGAGGCCGTCTAATGACATTGTGTGCAATGCAGGCTATCACTCAAGTGGAATCGCAATAGGTAGCGATTAGCGGGTCATCGGTGCGAGAGTAACATGAAGGAGATCGTGTGGCGAGGAGAAGATGGGAGATTATAGTCAGTCGTTGACTCAGCTGAAGAGGACAGCAGAAAATCGGACAGACTGGCTATATGTTGTTGAAGCCCAATGTTCCACTCGGAACCCAAGGGAATGATGACAATTTAAAAATACGCTGTAGAATTTATGAAAATGAAGAAATAATAAGTATGAAGTGTTTCTAAAGTATGATTTGTACTGCAGTGTGAGAATTTAAAGTTGTTTTTCCTCCCCACTTAAGTATTTGTCACCAGGAATGGGATACCTTCGGCTTTAGCGTCAATAAGAAGTTTTAATGATGAGCCATCCACACTCGCCAAGTATCGTGTTTGTGTGGGAAGATTATATTGTGAAAAGACTGTCTCCTAAGCTTCCAATGTTTATAAAACTCACAGGGATTACAACGTGACAAAAGAAGTAGATATTGTCAATACACTACTTAAAATTACTGTACTAGTCCGGAGATGTGATTCAGTTACTCCAGCACTAGGTTTTCAGCTGATAGTTCCCTTAGTTCGAATCCCACTCTACCTACGTTAGCTCGAGCAACTGGTCGGTATCATCATCATCATAAACGTTTCTGCTCGTGTGATCTATTCTGAACTTACATTTTGGTATCATTTACCTTTACAGGCTTGAAATCGATATCTTGCTGAACGTTTGAAACGTTTTCCGTTTTATCAGTTGCCTAGTTGATAATTAGTTCTCTGACAGACTCCACCTAGTGTTTATTACTAACACTGTAATAAACGAAAAAATCTATTTGTTAATTTTGCTCCTTTATGTTGTTTGGGTGTACCCTATTTCTTCATTTCTTCACTCCATCGTTCGTCAGTCTCTTGATCCGTCTTCGTGTTTCTTCAAAAGTCTTCGGTTTAATAAGCGTGTATGACTTTGGTTTATAGGAGGCTGTTAAAACCTACTGGAGTTTTATACAGGTGGATAACTATGGTTAATAACTCTGTATGCTATTTTGTGTAGAGTTGATTTTTAGTCCACACCTCTAATTATTTATAGGGAGAAGCATAATAATGCCTTTGCTCAACATATGCACAAAAAATGCCTACATGTTGTGTGTGTGTGTTCTGAAAAGGTTACACGTAAATCCAATAAATTACCATGGTCTTTAGAAATATAAGGAGTATATTACTTTGAAGTAATTTGATGGACAGTCACTATCAATCGAATCTAGAATACTCATTTCATCCTATTCTGGACCTGTCACCACCCTGGATGTACCTGCATTCCTGAATGAGTGATGGTCTTCCTGCTGAAACTCGGAGCCATTAATTATCCTTCGTTTTAATTGCTAAAGAGTTGTTCATTAGACTACTTGGGTCACGAGAACCACCTTTTGTGCGATGCGTTTATTATTATTATTGTATCCTTTAATTCCTAGAGGAACATAGGGCTTCAGTCGTGCGTCTTCATTGCGTTCGGTTCTCTGCTATAGTCTTCACCTGGCTCCATGTCTGCCCACACGTTTTCATCTCCTCTTCACATGATCTACTCCAAGTCACCCTTGAACTGACGACCAACTCGCGTTGGGTAGTCTTTATTTCAGTTTGATTTTCCCGTTGACTGATTGAACCGAGATATTCGGTCTGTTCCTTGTACGGACTCTTTGACGAACATTATTTTAAATCGTAGCACTGTAGGCGCACATGAATAGGCGTTTTCATCATATCTCTTTACCCATAACTCTTTCATGTACTACTACGTTTCTGAGGTGGATAGCAATGCACATAATATCTTAATTGACGATAAAATTTAAACTGTTTACTTTTTCTTCCATTGGTTTTATACCTCGATTGTTGTGTTTCTTTTTTTTATTTCAGCTTCCTAAAACATACTATTGTCCTGCTTGTCATCCCCGATCCTCTGTCACCACCACCACCAATACCACCACCGGCACCGGCACCACTGCACTTGCTCGCCGGAAACGACTATCCGGCAGTGGAAATGTTAGTCGACTGTCCAGTAGACATTTCCTTGTCAGGACCTCATCGAAACTTCATATACGGAAAAATTTGACTGGTTGTTACACTGGCAAATTAAGTCAACATTTATCTCGACGTCCAGATAGTTGGACACGTAGACTACATAGATCACCACGTTTGCCTAAATTACAAGCCTATGGTGATCGTAATACTCCTAGTCTGGCTGAGGATGATGATGATGATGACGCCGAGGACGATGACTCAGAGGATACAAACAATTATGTTGACAATCATCATCATCATCACAGACATGTTAAATCTTCAGTGAAACAGTCTATTCCAGTATTAAAAAATGAATTAATCGATAATTGGGCTGATATATCACAAAGTTCTGAAGAATCTTCAATGAAACATCCTGTTAGTTCACCGCATGGATCATCATCACACCTAGATGAACCACCGGTTATTGATGCTTATGAACCTGTTCCAAATAGTAAGTACCCTTTGTGTTCTGCGCGTATGTGTTGTTTTATGCGAGTACCCACTTGTTGTAGTTTATTAAATATATGCTTTTTGCTATTTGATGATCTCTGTACGCGATAAGTTTGATCACGAATTGACATCAGTTAGAGACCATTGAATAGCCTTAGAGTACTGGAAAGCTTTTTCTTCCTTCCTAGTTTGGGACTCCTCAGCAGTACTCACCCACTGGGGCACTCTACATAGGTCGCGAATTGGCAGCAGTTAGGATACATGGACCATTGGATCGAGTTGCATTGGCTGGATGGTCTATGGGGTCACCTTTTCACCGGAAGGTCTTGGGTTCGACTCCTGGTGGTGGTTTTCTAACTCATGATCAACAGCGTAACCGATAAAATCCCAGCAAACAAACACTTGATGAATAATATAATAGTTCGATGAGATGGATAGACTGTGGTATTCATAATGAAGCGTTTTTTTGTTGTTTGTATAGAGGGAATTTTCTCTGCACAATTTTCACACAGAATCTTTGAAGAAGTAAACACTTTCATGTCTTAATTTTTTGAAAGTTGGTTAATTATCATCAATAGTGTAACGGTGGTTCAGTGATCTGGGGTTCGATTCCCGGGCGGGTGTGATCCTATCAATATCATCCGGTAAAAGACAAGACCACCACTGCTGAGACTGCAAAACTTAAGCTTGAAGCTCCATATTCCTACTGGAAACGCAAAGCAGTATAAATACATTAATAGTCATCATTAGAAGTAAAAGGTTATTGCAAACTTTGAACTCATTCTGCCTTGTTTAAAAACATATCGAAATTCATGAGTCAGCTGTTCACACAAATGCTGCTCATAAATTAATGTGGAATTTGGAAGCAGTCTTATGTGTGAATGTAAATATCTTATACTAGCGAAAGATAAATGCCATGTGTATTAAGGGAACGATTTTATTGTCTACTGACAATAGTCTTCTGAACATCTTGAGCACCAGTCCTCGATGTGCGTCGGTGGCACAGTGGTTACTACTCTCGCCGACCATGCACATGGTCCGGGGTTCGATCCCCTGCCGGCGCACACCCGATATCTATGGTCGGCCTGAATTTGGGCTACCGATATCCATGCTGAAAATTCCACACTTGTACTGAAAATACGGTGTGGAATCAAGTTGTAAATCAAAATAAAAAAAAAATAAATAAAATGTTTGGCGTGCGATTTGCTCTCGTCAAATATAAGGTGATGCTACGGGATTGGATTACATTGACTCCTAGCCTATAGATAGGGAATGAAGTGGTTAGGGGAGCGTGTTGACCACTGCACTTATTTGGGGAGTTGCATCAACCCCAACAAGTTGATTGCTGATGAAATCTCAGAATGGATACAGAAGGCTTGTGTGGCATTTGCCATCTGTGACGTAGACGTGATATCCGGCTGTCGACCGAAGTAGGTGTGTACTGCTCATCAGTTCGCTTCATCCCCCTTTATGGCTGTGAGCGAGACATGGCCCTTGGAAGTGGAAGATACGAAAAGGCTAGCTGTCTCTGATCACAGATGTCTGCGTTCTATCGCCCGTGTTGAGTGGTGGAATATAGGGATTAATATTGAGGTTGAGCATCGAGTGTTAATTAAGGAGAAAAATCTATTGATGAGTTTGTGAAGACGAATTGACTGAAATGGTTAATACATGACACGTGTTAGACATGACTAGCCTTCGCCATCCTCGATGTGGATTGCTAGCTGACATAGGACCAGGTCGGAAAGGAGCTAGCTAGTGGTGGTCAAACCAAAACATGGATTAATCAGTCAATAAAATCCATGACAGTTAGTTGAAGCTAGTCACGTAGGAAGATGTAGACTTCCTGGGGTCATCGGGATGGTAAAATCCAATGAAGGCTGGAGACAATTGGTGATATGGCTGAAAATTGTTGTCAATGGTTGGCGCAGATGCATTTACTCTTTGTTATGTATAATATCCAATATAAATCTACTGTTCTCCCATATCACTATTCTTTTTCCTCACATTTCTGTTTATTATCTCTCTTTACTCTCTTCTGTTGCTTCGTGTACTACAAGGAGGGAGTGTGGCAACTGTAACTGGTGCACATCTGTGCAAAGTTCTATGTTGAAACCAGTCAGTCAGTCTGCTGACAATTGTTTTATTAGTTTGTCGTTTCATCAAATTAAGGTCACATTTAAGAAAGTCACTCTAGTCTCCACTTCCATATCAAATTTGCAAATGGGATGTTTGTTTTCAGCAGTCTGTTTGGAATTATCGATTTATGCAAAGAAATAAAGTGAATTTCTTCGGAGTATGTATCATTTACAATAGTGGATTGAATTGTTTTCTCGGAGCTTTATCTTTTAGCTAAACATACTAGCAGATATATCGTTGGTGAAGTCAATTGAATAAGAGTCCGTCAGTGAAGTTATGAATCTACTTCGATTAAGATGGCTAGAACGTGTGTTACGCAAGCTGGGTCACTGCATTCCTTCCTAGACGAGCGATGTTAGCTGATAGATGGTTAGGTTGGAAAAGAGTGTAGGCTAATCAAATCAAAGCATAGCAGTAATCCATTTTGATTTTAACAATTGGTTTGAGCCAGCCACCTAGGCAATGGTGTAGGCTGTCTGGTTAGGCTCCTCGGGATGCTAAGATCCAATGACTAGAGACTATTAAAGATGTGGCTCAAAAATGTCGTCCGTGGTGTTGATGGTTTCACTTGTTGTGAATAGTGACAATAATATATTAATGACTGAAAGAATAAAGAAGACCGTTTGATAACTGTTTCACAGTAAGTTGCTAGTTTCATACCTAACTCCTTTTCTCATCACATAAAATACCTACCGAGTTTTTATACTTAGTCATCTGAGTATAAAGTCTTTTATGCATTTACTTCTCTATTCCTACGTGATGAGATGGCAAAGTTGAGAGATAGAGAGGAGTGGATGCATCTGTGCCATTGAGAATGATTTTGAACCGTATCACCAATTGTCTTATGTCTTCATTGGTTTCTACCGTCCCGAGGACCCCCAACCATGAAGTCTACACCTTCTTGCATGACTAGTTTAAACTAACTGTTGCGGATTTCATTGACTGATGAAGCCATGTTTTAGTTTGACTAGCACTATCTCTTTTCCAACCTGATCTTATGTCAGGTAATATTCCTCTTCAAGGAAGGCGATGGCTAGTCATGTTTAACACATGTCGTAACCATCTCAGTCGATGTAATTTCACAGCCTTATCGATTGATTTGCCCTCCTTCCCTAGCACTCGACCGATATCTAACCTCAGTATTGCTCACCTTATTATATCACTTCACACGGGAGATAGAACGCAGGAACCTATGATCAAAGACAACTAGCCACGTTTTTCATGTCTTTTGCTCTCAATGGCCAGGTCTCACAGCAATAAAGGAGGGCGGAGCGGACTGCTGAGCAGTAAACATGCCTTTTCGTCGACAGCCAACGGATATCACGTCTACTAAGCCAAAGATGGCGTAAACTGGTATATACGAACCTAGTCCTCTGTATTCGTACTGAGATTTCGTCATAGATCAACCCGTTGGCGCTAGCTGGTGAAACTTCCCAAATAAGTGAAGCGGTCAACGTGCTCTACCAATTCACTTCCTATTTCTAAGCTAGAAGTCAATGTAGTCCAGTCCTGTAACATTATCTTACATTTGACGGGAGCGAATCGCATGCAAATAGAATATCAAATAAAATTAAGGAAATCTCTACAGCAGTAAATTGAGGATCATATTAAAACCTTGATGGCCAGCAAGACAAGGAAGGCGTCTGAATCAACTTCTTGTTTTGGATACATAAGTTGGGTTTCTTAATATTGATGCCAACAGCCAGCCTCAGCAATATGTAGTAGACGAACTCTTTAGGCAAAGTTAAGATTAGTTGGTTGGTGTACGGTATATGACTTTGAAAGCCTCGTTAACATCAATCTTTTGTTTTAATAATAATAATAATTTGTTTTACTCCAGAAACAGTACTAGTGGTACAGTGTGGAATTTTCAGCACATATCAACAATATTTGCATCTAGTTTTATCAAACATTTAAAAGGAGTATTTCAAAAAATAAATATAAAGACAACAACAACAACAAAAATAATCACAAAAATAATTTTTAAAAATGCGTAAAAACTACCAAGAAGTAGAAAGGAAAATAAACTACATAAAATAATATCTCAGTATTGGGTAGTGGAAGCTATGATATGATTATGCATGGTGACAGTAAAGCTATAGTCATACAAGAAATTATGAAATGATATTTAAGGATGTTTATCGCCAAGATGGTCAGTTAATTTGGTTGAAACAACTCTAAACAATCATAAAATAACATTTCAGAGTTGTTTTTTTATTGTCAGGTCTAATGTGGAGTTTGTAGTGGTAGTGTGAGTAATCCTGCATAATACAAAATTTTGAGATGATGTTAATGGCGTTCACAACCAATGATTGTCAGTTAATATTGCCGAAAAAAAAACAACCACCAAAACTAATAATTACATGATGGTTCATGACAGGAGAATTTTGTAATACTCATAGTGCTAATATATTGGGAACCAGTAGATACACAAAAGAAGGAGTAGAGTAAAGTACAAAAAAGTAAGCCAATGTAAATAATTTAGGTTGCTAAGTATGTTTAATAAGGTGTTCACTATAGAATGCAAAATAAGAGAGAGAAATAAAAGAGCCTAAAATTATGTTATTAACAACAAAGCAAGTCATAGGTTTCGCGCTTAACATTGTTTCTGTCGCTTAGAACACGGGCCAAGTAGGGTATCGTTGAGTTCCTATACTTGGTTGTACGAGCATAAATTATTTTATACTGATTTCTGGTTCTACTTGATGAAATACAAGGCGAGAGTTGGGAATAGAGGGGGTGTTTCGTATCCACAAGATGAGATAGAATAGCGCTATGAATGTATTTTGTTTGTCCACGCAGGTTGATGTTCAGAAAACCGACGAGAAATATATATTTACTTATAACACAGGTATATATATATATATTAGATTCAACAGTCATTTTTATTTATTTTATTTTTATTATTTTACTCATCCTTATAGATTATGGGAGCACAGAGACGACTGAAACACCGAAAGGACCGACTGAAGTTCTCCTAGAAGCATTAGATGTAATGAGTAGTGGTGAAATTCATTCAAACAATTCTGTCTAGTTAACAAAACAAAACGAAAGCAAAATTATCCTCCATTGTTTTTGTGTGTGTGTTTTTTTTAGTTAACTAACTTATATATATGTATGCCATATTTTTTATCATTTATTTCACACAAACGTGTGTTTTTCATGACTATTAACTACTTATCGCGTATCCAGACTTTAATAAGTCACACAGTTACATATTTTTTTGTAATATCCTCCTCTCGCCTTTGTTGAATAGAAATTGAAGTTAGAGAAAGAAAAAGATAAGAAGAAGGATTATTCGAGAATACCCATACCATGTAGGCATATAAGGTGTAGTGTTCTCAGAAGGAAAAGAAGCATTGAAAGTGTATTTTTTTTCAAATCTACTTCTAATGTTTTTTGCTGTCATTCATTTTGATCTCTTCTTCGACATCTATCTCCACAGACACACATGCACACCCGATTTGTCTACATTGTGTTTCATTCTTCCCTTTTCAATGTGCGTTTGTGTGTGTGTGATGTATTCATCTGTGATGAAGTCGTGGTTATAGATAGTGTGGGGAGTGATAGTGTCCCTCCCAAATAGAAGTAATTGTCGTATTGTCGTTAGGATAGAAGCGTATTAGACCTGTCTCTTACTCTCCCCTTCGTGTCGAATGCATGCACTCTGATGTACTTTGGTTTTCTAAGAATGTTTGCTACCTATTTTCAAACATTTCTATCATTCAGTATTGTTGTTGGCGTTGTCGTCGTCGCTGTCGACAACACCATCGTTGTTATTGTTAATAAATTACTTCATTACTTGATTATTATTATTATTACCTTTTACTGCACATAAAATTACGTTTGTCTACACCATGATAATTTATCCCTTGTTTTTGATTACTAATCAATAATTGCCTTCTTTGGTCATCATTCACTTACTTAAGGACTGATAGATAGATATATTACTACCTTGATCAATACATCTCTCACTATTTTCATTCTTTTCCCTCTTATTATTATTATTACGAAAAGATAGGCAGTGTGTAAACTTCTCCCGAATTCCACGTATGATATTAATTAGTCCTTAAAATATATTTTTTAAAAACACAATAATTTCATTGCTTCTCTTGACAGAGCATTGTTGGTGTCTTCTTTTTTTTCTCTTTCGCTTTTTTGTAAACTGCTATTTTCACCTTTGTAAACGAGAGAGAGAATATGTTTTTGCCATGTCATGAACACACTGGTTGCTTTATAACTTCTATTTTTCACTATTACTATTAGTAATATATATATATATATATATATATATATATACAATGATGTACAATACATATTTACAGTATCTTGAAAAAAATAAATACTTTCTCCTCTAGTGTCTTATTCAAGTGCTCAGCAAGTAGTTGTCGGTGACTTGTTCGCCTTTTGACTTCCATATTTCACTCAAGTTACAAGATGATTGACACAAAGCAAGAACAACAATTGTGGAAGGATAAGAAGAGGTTATTTTCTGTTGGGTTAATTTTCCTGTGGATTCTTCCAATTTTGACGGAGTGCTATTAACTGGTTGTTTTTTTTCCTTCACGTTCCCCAGTGGAACATAGGGCTCCAAGCTAGAGGCTTGAAGTTTCAGTAGCAGTGTTTCATTTTTACAGGATGGGGTTGCTAGTCTCACGCCCAACCTTTCCTCTTCACCAGCATTATTTCTGGCTTAGCGAGGTAAAGGAGTGCCTGGTCGGTCGGGGATCGAATCCCCGAACCATGTGCATGGTCGGCGAGCGTCCTAACCGCTATGCCACCGACGCTCTCTTAACTGGTTTGTGGGTTCATCTAATTTGATTGGAACGTGCTGCCAGCATATGGCAATATAACCAATTACTGATCACTTGGAATTATATCTCCCTCTCACACTGAGATAGGCAAAAATGTCAAACTGGGAAAAACTGACGACAGGAATGACAACAGCAGCAACCGCAATAACTTTTATGAGTATCTTATATTTACAAAACCTCAGAAATTTAAGCCATAAATAAGCAAATCTGATTGGTTGTCTAACTCTAGAAAATTAAGCTGTTAATGAACCAATCAAAACTGTTCAGCGTGGTTATTCGTGTTAGTACATGTCTAAGTCATGAATTTACGGCTAACGAAGAAGCTTGTCTGTCCTAACAAGACCAATCATGCAGCGCCATCCTAAACTTGACAAGGATAAGTCCTGTACCAAGCATACTCAGATTTGCGCACAATATAAATAGTATCAGATACTTGGTCTCTGCTGTAAAATGACAAACAATGATGTAAATACGTAAAAGGATTACTTTTAATGGACCAAGTTAATGAACTACAATCATGATGAACACAAATGTGAATGTTCCGAGTGGGACATAGGGCTTCAACAACACATCGCCACTCTGTTCTTTTTTCTGCTATCCTCTTCATCTGGCTAGCTCCACGATCGCCCATAATATTGCGTCTCCTCGCCACACAATCTCCTTCGTATCACCCTCGCAACGACGACCCGGCTTACCATTTGATCTTCAATATGGAGTCACAGAAGGCAACTGTTGATAAAAGTCTGTAACTTGTTGGAAATCCTTTTCGTGGCACACAGTGCAAGTCTATGACTCGCGTAGTAGTATTAACTGACTGACTGACTTCACATTTGTGTTGAACAGAATCCGAATCTTGTTCTTTCTGCTGGCTTACTGAGTGACAGCAGAAGATTTCCCAACTGGTTTCAGCTTGATGAAGGCGTATCTTGCCTCTCCAGTTCTGACTTGCATTGACACCTTCACCCGTGCTATCTGCCTGTGGTTGAAACCGTGCTTCGTAGCCGGATAAGTGAAGGCAGGAAGTATTCTCTGCCAAATGTCTCCCTTTGATGATGATTGTTACTGATGTTTGGTTATCCTCATCACGTCTGTCTTTTCTACGTTCCCCTGGAGTCCTGTCTTCGCCATCTGCTTCTTCAACCACTTTGTTCGTTTTCGCCTGCCTGGATATCTTCGGGTTTGTGTGACATTAAACATAAGTCGCTGGCGAAATCCAGATCTTCTGAAGTCTTCTTATCGGTCCAGTGTATTCCTGTTTTCTCACTCCCCACACACATTGTGACGCATAATCCAGTCCAGCACAATTAGAAATATCATTGGTAATAATAGGTAACCTTGTCTTACTCCTTTATTCACTTCAAAGCCTTCACTGAGTTTTCCATTTCGAATCACCTGACACGTGTCACTGTCATATAGATAGCTGTTGAATGAAGCTGATAAAGATTTGGGCACTGCACGCGGTAGTGTTGAAGTAGTTTCCAAATTACTTCTCAATCTACGCTGTCGAAGGCCTTTTCGAAGTCTATTAAGTTAAGGTACATGTTTGACTGTCATTCTATGCTCAGTTCATTAATGATGTGTAGAGTTGCAATTTGATCAGCACACGATTTGCTTTTCCCTGAATCCAGCTTGTTCTGGCAGGCGGAGTTCAGTATTCAGTGCACCTACTGTCTCTATTATGCATTTCCACTTTCTTTCCTTGCTTTGCGTTGTGCTACATGGAGTGTGGCAACTTGAACTGCTGCACATCGGTGCAAAGTTCTATGTCGAAAACAGACAGACAGCATCTTTTATTTTGTCCGAGATGATGCGATTCAGTGTTTTACATGACGTAGATAAGAGCATTATTCCACACCAATTCTTTCAGAAGCGTAAGCCGCCCTTCTTTTGTAGTTTGACAAGGTAGCTAGTCTTTCTTCTAATTGGTAGGTACCTTTCTTTCCCTCCAAACCTTTAGTGAAAATGGCGTCATCATATTCGCTGCATTCTTGGGGTCTGTTTTCAGTGCTTCGGGGCGGGTGAATTCTATCTGGTCCTACTGTCTTGCGATATTATCCCGTGAATGTTATAAGTGTCGATGACGACCAGAACGACAATGGCAACAGCGTTTATATTTATAAAATCTCAGAAGTTTAAGCCATAAACAAACGAATCAAAACTGTCCCATAAAGTTATTCATGTCACTATGTGTAGAAATCATAGCTTCACAGCCAACAAAGAGGCTTGTCTATCTCGAATACTGACAACCTAAACGATAGCAAAATATGTAGACTACAAGGAAGCCTAAGTATACTTTTATCATTTTGACAGCTGGTAAGTGATAAGAGGAATAGGTAATATAAGACTGGAGTAGTGTAGATGGGCAAATATTCTTGGGAAAAATGAGGGATTTCAAAATGTGGACAGAAGCGAAGTTAAGTTAGTAATAGGTGAAAATGATGCTGCAGGATTGGACTTCATCGACCCCTAGATTAGAAATAGGAAGTGAAGTGGTAGAACACGTTGACCGCTTCACTTACTTGGGAAGTACCATCAGCCCCAACGGGTTGATCTCCGACGAAATTTCAGCACGAATACAGAGGGCTAGGTTCGCATTCGCCAGTTTTCGCCGTCTCTGGCGTAGACGCGATATCCGACTATCGACCAAAGGGCGTGTGTACTGCTCAACAGTCCGCTCCGTCCTCCTTTATGGCTGTGAGACCTGGCCATTGAGAGCAGAAGACATGAAAAGATTAGCTGTCTTCGATCATAGGTGTCTGCGTTCTATCTCCCGCGTGAAGTGGAATAATAAGGTGAGCAATATTGAGGTTAGGCGTCGAGTGCTAGGTAAGGCGGGGAAATCAATCGACGAGACTGTGAAATTGCATCGACTGAGATGGTTAGGACATGTGCTACGTATGCCTAGTCATCGCCTTCCTCGACGGGCAATGTTAGCTGATATAGGGTCAGGCTGGAAAAGAGCTAGCGGCGGTCAAACCAAAACATGGCACCAATCAATGAAATCCACAACAGTTAATCTAAGCCACGTAGGAAGATGTAGACTTCCTGGTTGGGGCCCTCGGGATGGTAAAAACCAATGGTTGGAAACAATTGGCGACATGGCTCAAAATCGTTCTCAGTGGCGCAGATGCATCCACTCCTTGTGACTTATGATTTCCAATTAAACTTTTGTTCTCCGTTATTACTATTCCTTTGTCTCACACCACTGTTTACTGTCTATATTTTGCATTTCTTCTACTTCCTTCTCTCACTCTGTGTGCTACATGGATTGTGGCGACTTGAACTGCCGCACATATGTGCAAAGTTCTATGTCGAAAACAGACAGACAGACAGACAGAATAGGTGAAAATAAGGAAAATTTAGGACATAAAGTAAGAAATAAATGACGTAAGAAAACTTATATGACCTGAAATTCATTCTACTTATAATAGTTCTGTCAGCAACTCATCAACATTGGCTAGCTAATGAAGTGAAGCTGAAACTCAATTTTGTAATTTCTATATCTTTGTATTGTTTAGACTGTAAGCAGTTGAATAATAAAAATCAGTTCATACTATTCCACCGTGACTTGTTTTTTATTTATTGCTTTGTTGAAGTTTCTCAGCATGGAAGAATTATATGAGGTTTTTTTACTGATGTACCAAATTATTACTTCTTAATACGCCATTGTCTTAAGATATAAGCTAAGCATGGTGTAGTCTGCAATGAACGATTAATTATGAACTTCGGTCATTGCACGAGACAATTTATACCGGATGTGCTTAACTTGTAATTACGATTATATTTCATTATCGCAAACGAAGTAACAATATGTAACATGTCTTAATTAGTGCATAAATGAATTAGTGAACTTTCGCAGTAGATGTAGTCAAATGAGTAATTAATTCAAGGTGTAGAATATGAGGAACACTGTTACTTGCTTTCAATTACTAGTAGTGTAACGACAGAAGACAAGGGCCAGGCAACAGATCGTTTATTGAGAAAATCAACAGATATTTATGTAGTTTTATGAACATTATTATTCATTATTAGAAGCAGAGAAACAGCGCCTTCTGATTGGTTGTTTTCTCGCTGAAAGTTATTCTGTGATCTCCTTGTGGCCGCTTTTTTGAAGGTCAGACCATATATCTGCGAATCGTATTTGCACACGCTAAGTCTGCTGTGATTGGTTGTTGAGTTCCTCGAGGTTAGGCTTTGGTATTGTTTTATGTCGTTACCCCGATAGGGGACGTAAACATTGACGTCAATTGTTGTCTACAATTCTGGCTAGCAGACAGCTCTCACCATAGTAGCATGATCAGGAATAAAGTATTTGTGTTGAGAAGACAATCTGACACTATGATAGTGAGCTTGTAACATCCTAACAAGTTTCTTATGAGCTTTTTGACAACGAAAACGATGGTATGCAGTTTTATTATAACTCTTCCACAGCAGGATTCTATTATATATAAACTGAGAAACATTTAAGGTTTGGTATCTAAAACCTGATAACATTCCTTGCGATTAAGATCCGAAAAATATGTGGCCAAGAATCGTTAGAGGTTAAGATCACTACTTTGAGAAAGACACTAATCGCAAATGGCTACCTCCACGCTTCATAGATAAACATGTAAGATTCATCATTGTGCCACCGAGGATATTATAGGTGAATATAGTGTTCAAAGGTGACATTCTAAAGCAGGGAATATCAGACGCCCGGTAAATAAAATTTCTTGTATCTTTACTAACACTGATATTCTCCTTCCGCCCAATGTTCTCCATTTACCCTAGAAATAAACTGTCGCGTTTGACCACTTCTGTGTGTATCATCTATCAATTCACTTGTTCCCATGGAGCGAGATATATGGATTGTTCGATGAGTGTTTTATCTATACCAGTCATGGAACATTATCCCGTTTAGCTACAAAAAGGTCACTACGGTGTGGTATTATTGAAAAGGCATTTAATACTGCCCACCCAATCAATATCTAAGGAAAATTCATTCATTCAAAGTTAATCCGAAAGTCAAAACAAGCCTTACAAAAATAGTATGATCCCGTATATTTGCACTGCTGAGGCTTTAGGCATGTGAATGAAAAACGTTGATGCATGTATAGAGAAGAAACTTCTCCATCCCGTCCTACTCGTTTGGGTGAGGAATATTTTGTTAATTTTCGATATGACCTTTATTGATATCATTTCCTTAGATAACCTTTTGTTCGTTCTGTTCACCTAAAAGTTGGACAATATATTTTCGTACTTGTCTCTGTTCTGTTTCATTAACCACCAGTGAATGAATTCACTGAAAAGTATCTCTTCGTCAAGCTGTTTGTTGTTATTACCATTTCTGAATGTGCATTTTTGGTGAATAAATATAATTTGAGGTATCAAGTATGAGATGAAACATTTCATTGCAAATAAACTCACGAATAATTCCCAGATATCAGTGAAAACAAAACACGTAGGTCAGCAAAGAGTCGCTTTTCGCTGGTGAATTCATTCACTTAGCTGAACAGTCGTAATTATATATATGCTTATTTTTGTAAGTGTGTGTACATTAGTTTTGTCAGAAAAAAATAATAAATTGTTTAGGTTATTGTTACTAGTACAAACAGCCTGAAAGGTGTGAAAACACACAAAACGCCTTCAAGGCCACCAAGAGAGAAGACTAATAGACTTGTGGGGGAAATCTAAAAGCTCACTTCAACAAATTGAAGTATGCACTGCAGATGTTACCTCGTAGGGCAGGCAGTCAAAGCTCCGCAATTAAACCATCCAGCTCAGAGAACTCAACTACAACAACACATCCACCTGAGCTAAAAATCTTCTCCATCATACCTAAAACAAACTCCTATATAATGGTTATTTTGAAATAATAGAGAAGATTTGTAGCTCAGGTGGATAATATTCAATTAGTTGTGTTTCCTAAGCTGGTTGATTTAATTACGAAGCTCTACGTATAATTAAATCAAAACTCTGGATACGTTACGTGGATGATACATTCGTAATGGTTAAAAGGAATGATTTGGAATATACCCATAAATTAATTAACGACATATTTGAAGACATCAAATTCACAGGAGAGAAGGAGTTAGACAAAAAAATTCCATTCTTAGATGTCTTAATCAAGAGAACCAATACAGGAAATTTAGCAACACAAGTATATGGGAAATCAACACACGCACAGATCAAATACTCAGCTATGATAGCAATAGCCCAGTGACTCACAAAACAAACTGTGTGTAGAGTTCAAACACACTGTAGCACCCCCGTGTTCAGGAGAATGGAGGAAAAATACCTACTAACTGTCTTCAAAAGGAATGGATATCCGCACAATTTCATCAAAAAGTGTTTAAACCCAAGCCATAACACTGACGAGAAAGCACAATCAAAGACCACGAGAAAATTCATCATACCATATATAAAAATATCTCTGAATATTAAGATCGTTTGAAATACATATAGCAGACAAGCCAGCCAGCACAATTACTTCATTCGATATTGTGCAAACCAAAAGATCCAACAGAAAAAGAAGATAATATTAATACAAAATAAATTGTACCACCTGTAACAGATATTACATCAGTCAAAGTGGGCACCAATTTGTTGATTGGAATAATGTAGAAATCTTATGTAGAGGAAGCATCAAAAGTGACAGATAATTTCTAGAAGCCTTGTACTCAAGTGAATCGACAATTAACAAACTAATTAATATAGACTAAATTTACCAGCTAATAAAAAGTAAGTCATCACCTGAAACCAATCTGGAAATCTTCGTCACTCAACTCAGCATCAACAACAAAATTCGGATTTTCAATACAAACGTCAATTCAGTCAGTTCTTCGATACGGATCAGAAACTTGGAGGGTCACAAAGAATATTTCCAACAGCCTGTTGCAGACCTTTATCAACAACTGACTTCGCTTTATACTGAAGATCAGATGGCCGGAAAGAATCACCAACAAGAAATTATGGGAACAAACAAAGCAAGAACCAATCGCACAACAAATATGCAGGAGAAAGTGGAGATGGATTGGACACTCGCTGAGGAGGCCGCTGAGTGACATCGCGCGTCAGGCCAGTGCTCGAGTGGAACCCGAAAGGGAAGCGGCGAGTGGGACGTCCAAGGGTGACATGGAAGAGATCGTGTGAAGAGGAGCCGAAACAGTATGGACTAACATGGATGCAAGTGAAAAGTACAGCAGAAGACAGAAGCAAGTGGAGGCGTGCAGTTGAAGCCCTATGTTCCACTAGGAACCCAAGGGAACAATAAAAAAATGAAAAAACATCACATGACAACACCGTTCAAATTCCAAGTCAACAAAAATGATCAATAGAGATGTAAATTAACAACAACCAGTCACGACAGTGGTCGCCAGGAGATACAATCACATCATTCATTGAGAATTTAAATGAGTTCATCCTATACTAAAACCTGCGCTGAAGGGGGCTGTTGTCTAGAAGGACGACGAAAGCTTCGCAATTAAATCAACCAGAAGCTCAGAGAACACAACTAATTCAAAATGTTTATTTTATTGATTTTTTTTTTCAATTTTTAATGAAAACAAATCATGTATTTACAAAATTATTAACAAACTAATTAATAATAAATTAGTTAATTAATTAATTAATTATTTAAAGAAGAGATTTCCAAATTATCTGACTCTTCCCATATCAACAGTTCTCTACCATAAGCTGCAGCTATGCATATTTTACCTTTTTCTGATTGAACAATTGTTCTTAATACAGGAAGAGTATTTACAGAATTCCTATGCCTTAAATGACTACTGATAGGTACACTTTGTGGTCCAGTTAGTTTTCTCCATCTACTGTGTAAACCATTTGATGAATAAAATTTTGAAATATGTATTTCAGTACGGTGTTGCTGTGTTCTCATTAATACAATCATATATAGACATAGTGATGATGACTTTTTATCTATGGAATTAACAGTATCAGAAGATTGGTGTATAAATACAGGATTAATGAATTCTACTCTTCCAGGTATATGTAACCATGGTTGTGGTGTAGATCGATTTTTAACCAAGTTGTCCAGGGAATATATCCATAGGCATGTTTTGTCATTAGAAGTGCGTGATCCATAAATCAATATGTGGGGATGTTTATGCTTTTCAAATATCTCTTGATGGTTTCTGTCATCTGAAATTTAAAAAAAAAGAGAATAACGAATTTACGAAAATATGATGAAGTTGGCTATGAAGACATTGTTCAGAAGGACAATGAGGGCTTTCTGAAAGCCTCCATGTGAGCTACAAATCTTCTCGATTATTTCAAAATCTTAAAAGTAGCCTGCTCTCTTGTCTTTATAAAAATATTGTGTATTTATGGTTGTGTAAGGCTTCGATTATCCAAGTTGTTTAACTGAGTTGTATTCGTTTTCTTCAGGCTTTTGTGTTTAACATATCAAACAGCCACAGTTTGAATTCATTTTCCTACATTAGTTGCTCTCCATATATAACTCTAAATGTCCGTCTCTACGAAGATAGTGTTACGGTGTAGATCTGACTAATAGCATTTATTGCAAAGTAGATTTCGTCACTAACCACCACCAATTTGGTTTTTTAGGGGATTTTTGTTTGATTGGTTGGAGGATTTCATCATGAGTTGACATCAGTTAGAGAACCATTGGAAAATCTGGGAGTCCCAAACAAGGCTGGCGAAACAGCTGTCCAATAGTCCCAGTTGGTTTTCCAATGGTTCTCTAACTGATGTCAGCTCATGATGAAATCCTCCAACCAATCAAACAAAATCCCTACAAAATAAATACTTGAAAATTAATCTGATGCTCACTAGCGACTGGCCCTGTTCATGCAGTTGACCTAGGATTTTAGTGGGAAACCGTGACCAGTAACGTATAGCAGGTTTAAGGTGAGGCAGTAACTCATCGAATAAAACATTGCGAAGTGGTCACGTTGTCATGAATTGGCAGAAGTTAGAATTCATGCGCCAGTAATTGGATCAGGTCCCAGTGGCTTAATGGTCTACGAGCCAGCTCGCCTTTTCACCAGAAGAGCCTGGGTTCGAACCCTGGCGGTAGGTGCGTACTGATGAAGAGTCCTAAACAAGGCTGGTGAAACAGCTGTCCAGTACTCCCAGGTGGTTTTCCAATGGTTCTCTAACTGATATCGGCTCATGATGAAATCCTCCTACTAAGTAGTACTAGAAGTAGCTGTTTCGCCCTACTTTGGGACTGCTCACAGTTTGCACCCACAAATAAATTTGGGATCGAATCATCAAGTTACAAGGCAAGTCTGTTGACAATTCAGTCAAACGATAGGTTTTAATGGAGGTGGCACCTAAATCACATGAATTGACAGAAGTCAAGATTTGTGAACTTTCATACTTTCCACCGGTGAATGAATGGTTAGCGAGCTTGTTTGTGACCTGAAGGTACAAAATTTGATCCCCAATGAGGGTTCTGGATGAGCACCATTATTATTATTCCTTGGGTTCCTAGTGGAACATAGGGCTTCAACTACACTTCTCCACTTGCTTCTGTCTCCTGCTGTACTTTTCACCTGCATCCATGTTAATACATACTGTTTCAATTCCTCTTCACACGACCTCCTCCGTGTCACCCTTGGACGTCCCACTCGTCGCTTCCCTTTCGGGTTCCACTCGAGCAATGGCCTGACGCGCGATGTCTCCCAGCAGCCTCCTCAGCAAGTGTCCAATCCATCTCCACTTTCTCCGGCATATTTGTTGAGCGATTGATTCTTGCTTTGTTTGTTCACATAGTTTCTTGTTGGTGATCTTCAGTATACAACGAAGACAGCTAATGATAAATGTCTGCAACAGGCTGTTGGAAATATTCTTTGTGACCCGCCAAGTCTCTGATCCGTATAGCAAAACTGACTTGACGTTTGTATTGAAAATCCGAATTTCGTTGTTGAGTGTTGTTGAGTGACGAAGATTTCCAGATTGGTTTCAGGTTGATGAATGTGTTTCTCGCCTTCCCGATTCTCCATTTGACATCCTCGTCCGTTCCTCCTGTAGTTGAAACAATGCTCCCTAGTCAAGCGAATGAAGTAACCTCTTTCAAATCCCTTCCGTTGATGGTGATTGGCGCTGGATGATGCTGCTGTTGTTATTGTTGTTGGTTGGTTATTTTCATAACCTGCGTCTTGTCTATGTTCACCTGGAGTCCTGTCTTTGCTGCTTCTTCGACCAGTTTGTCGGTTTTCGCTTGTAAGTCTTTGATATTTTGTGACATCAAACATAAATCATCCGTGAAATTCAGGTCTTCTAGGTTCTTCACGTCGGTCCAGGATATCCCTGTCTTCTCGTTTCCCACCACTAAACACTAGCAAAGTAAGACGAAAGAGCTATTCAGTGCGCCGTGGTTTCTAGTGGCTAATGACGAAACGTATATTCCGTTTTACGGCATACTTCCTATATATATATATATATATATATATATATATATATATATATATATATATATATATATATATATATAAAGGGATTCCACTGAACTATCCTCCTGTAATATTCATTGTGTAATAAAGTACTGACAAGAATAAACGTCCAAGTGATGATTTTTGTAATGAGTAAAAAAGGTCGACTAAGTAAAAGATGATGAGACTTTTAGTCAGCCACTTACTCTTCGCTAACTCCAACGTATCTTTTAAATTATGTGTTGGTAAAAACATTGCGTGAAAGGAATACTCATTGGCTTCCATTTCATTACTATTATTATTAGTAGTAATATTGTTAATATCGCCATTAGTGCTGATGTCGTTAATCCATTGCAATGATTCCAATGGCAACCAACCAATCAAGTAAAATCGTAATGGATTATGATATGTATCTGAACAAATTGATAGATTCCATACACTCAAACGATTTCCCCCACCAATAGCAAGGCATATCCATCTAGCAGTAAATGTTTTGAAAAGAAAGAAAAAACAAATGTTTGAATCAGATTTTAAAAAATACAATGTTCAATGCATTAAAACATTTGTTACAGGATTTCATCATGAGCTGACATCAGTTAGAGAACCATTGGAAAACCAGCCGGGAGTACTGGACAGCTGTTTCGTCCTAGTTTGGGACTCTTCATCAGCACCCGGTGGGTGCGTACTGCTGAATGGTTCTCTAACTAATGTCAGCTCATGATGAAATCCTGTAACCAATCAAATCCCTACAAACCAACACTTTAATATTATAACATTTGTTTGCTTATTGGGATAATATGGAAAATTGAAAAGCAACGCCTTTGGATATGAAGCCGTGACTATCACAATCCAATTTTCTCCTGAACACACTACTATATTGGAACGTTAGCTAATCGAAGAAATTCAGAGGAGTTTTGTCATATATATATATATATATATATATATATATGAGGGATTATTTCACATGATGTTTTTGGTGAAAACTGCAATTTTATTCGCTCTGAATCATTTGTGACTACGGCTTTGAAGTAATCAATCACTGGAAGTTGAATAATATTATCGGCCTGATCGACTTACATGGTCAAACTGTGGTCGTTGTTTCATCTTATCCAGTGTTTCTGGTTTGACGCTACACAAGTCACCTTTGGTTTAGACAACTATAGTTGAGTGTACGCACAATAATACAATCACAATAGATTGAAAATGTCAACATTACAGATACTGAGTCTCTTCAAAATAGACTTCTGGAATTGCATACATATATTTCAAGTCTCATGGCATTCTTACGGATTCTGTGAGGTCGTGTATGTCGTTTTGAAACCTAGATAAGCATGTGCTTAGTCACATTGATGACTTGAATGTTAGAAAAAAGCTGTACAGTATTTGAAGGAAGAAATCTACCTACACCTTTTATTATAATTACTATTCGAATGTAGCTGAAGGCTGGTAAATGTTAGTGTAATTCTGAAGTTTTTCTCTAAACTAACTATGACAACGGGATTGATCTCATCTGACTTTGAGCATGACAACAAACAAAAGCTACTCAAAAGTAATGAAACCAAACATCTTCACAATAACGAAAGTAGAAGAATAGGAAAATACATCAGCAGTTGGTGATATCGGGTACCTAGCCTGTTACATGCTCTGATGGTGTTCTCGTGACTTTTGTTGCCAGATCTACCATGGACCACAGGATAGTGTACGAGCTAATGGTTGGATGAAAGGTTTGAAGAAAGATGTATGTTATTATGTATGCGTCTGACCCCGATAATGTTTTGTGCGTCGGTGGTTCAGCGGTAGAATACTCATCAACCACGACTCTCTAAGCCGGTAGTAATCCCGGTAAAAAGAGACGGTTGGGCGTGGGGCTAGCAACCATATCCCGTAAAGAGAATCACCACTGCTAACGGAACTTTAAAGCCCAAGGCTAAAGACCCTATGTTCCATAGGGAATTCAAAGGAATAATATAAATAAATTGGTGATATACGTCAACTATTTATGCTCATTAGGTAAACATATTGTAAAACAGCTGTGGTACGTGAAATAGTCTCCAAGATGGATAGGATTTCAGTAAATTCTCAGAACAAACGGCGAAGGATTCCCAATGTCACAATTCCCGTCTACTGTCTTAATTGACAAAATTTTTAGCAAAAGTTCTATGTTTCCAAGTAGTATCATTCCAATACTCTACAATCTCATATGCAGGTGCTACATGCAGAATGTATTTCAGTCAATGAATGCTCTTTATGAAAGTGAATATAAACACAACTTAATATAAAACTAAAGCAACAACATAAAAGAATACTGATAATGATAATAATAATAGCTTTATTCTGCACAGTGCTTATCTAATGTCCACAGTATTCAGCGGAGTTTATTGCATGATATTTTCTGTTCCTCCAGGATGCTGAGACAACACAGGAATTAATTGACGAGAGGCTCTGTGACACAATTCTGTCTGACCTGAAGCGCAAACCAATCCATTATGACACATTTTTTCTTTATCTCCTTCAGGAAATACACGATATTTGGTTGAATACCGACTGTAAAGTGTTCAGAAGTACATATGGAGACCCAATGACATAACTCAGGAACGGTTATCTTATTTCTTAGGACATGTCACCCACCCCCCCTCCCGCGATTATGCTTTTTTCGACGATTCATTTTCATGAGTTGCATTCGGGTTCTGAAACCGGACCTCTGCATTCAAAAGCGATACATATATTTACTCGCCCTACCGTGACCAGAGTAAATTTCTTACTATAATTTTGCTTCTTTCTTTCTTATTATGTAAGTTCACTATTATTATTGTTATTACTACTATTATTTTGTTATCATTATTATTCCCATCATCCATATTTTATTACCACTCTATTACTGTTTATTAATAACATTCCGTTTTCATACAGATTTTATATAAAAACACTTTATCGCTTTTCCACTCGTTCCCGTCCATTCTACACGAGCTTATTGATTAGTCATTATCTCACACTTATTACGTCATGCCAACTTCTGTCTGTTTTCTAATTTACAGTTAGTCATCCCTTCTTACAACTTACATTATATAATACATTTTTTCGAGCACAAAGTTCACCAGTATGTGATCGGTCTAAGGATTTCTTTGTTAAATATAATTACGATTATTGTACAGCAGCTTATGAAAATGAATCGTCGAAAAGAAAATTTTCTTCTCTGTTTACGCCTTTTTCTTATGACTCAATATGGGAATATTTCGTCCACTATGCTTTTTCTCAAGTTAAGTGGAGACTGGTGAATCAGCTGGTTGTAAACACTTTAAATACCCCGCCAGAGTAAATAACACCATTAGGGGTCATATTTTAATTGATTAAAACAAAGTGAAAAACTGAAATTATATGCAATATAAGGAAGGATGCAGGTGTTTTTTAGGTAGCCCAACTTTTAAAGACAAGCCGTTGGATATATTATCAAACAAGAAATAGTTACTTACGACTCAGATTGTTTATCTTCAACTCCATCTAAATTATGCGAATTCCTCTTTAAACTTCCATTATTAATAAATGTTTTCTCTTGTAATTTATTTAAATAATAATCATATGATAAAGCTTGTTCATATGTATCTATACAATGAATAGGCATCGAGATTTGATTCGATAATAGATGATCTTTCATTATGCGTTTTATTAATATTGGTTGTGGTTTCTCGCCTTCAATGAGATCACTTCTGTTATCATTCGCAAGTGATAAGAGGATGAGTAGACCATTTCTAGTGCCAACAATTAAATAATATGGACTACAAAAGCTTAGAACTGTTATCTGATCAGTTTGACGTGGAAATATTGATTCACATTCACTGATTATACACATCTATTTGAAACAGACAGAGTGTAACAAAGGAAAACAATTTAATAAAAAAAAAACGTGCATTTATAGGCATACAAAGAGTTTAACAAACCTCCTTTTTGCAATAAAGGAGCATAGGTGATTGAAATTGACATGAAATCAAAGCTGTCATTAAGAAGGAAATAGAAGTCTTCGGGTATACTCCTTCAAAGTCTTACTAACTATAGTATATAAATCAAGAAATTGAGCTAAGGAAGCACGTAATATATCCAACTTATCTTTAACACTCAAGAATGTTACTCTGCGATATTAGTATTATAGTGTTTTAGTCGAGTAAAATAGTCAGCGTTAGAGAAGACAAAGGTGGCAAAGATACCTAATCATCTTCAAGGGATTTTTGTTTGATTGGGCTCGAACCCTGGTGATGGTGCGCACTGATGAAGAGTCCCAAACTAGGACGAAACAGCTGTCCAGTACTCCTAGCTGGTTTTCCAATGACTCTCTAACTGATGTCGCCTCAGGATGAAATCCCCCAACCAATCATACCTGATCATCATCAAGAACAACAACAAGCACCAGAGGGAGAAAACGAAAGGAAGTTACCCGTTTCACTTATCTAGGCAGCATCGTTTCAACTACAGATGGCACAGATAAGGATGTTAAAGTCAACATCGGAAATGCAAAACAGACCTCCATTAATTTTGAAATCAGTGTGGAAATCTACTGCATTCAGCAGATGTCAATTCAGTCAGTTCTTATGTATGGTTCGGAGAGTTGGTGCGTCAACAAAACCATTTCCAACAGGTTTCAGACTTTCATTAGAAAGCTGCCTTCGCTGCATACTGAAGATCCGATGGCCAGGCCAGAATGGATAAGCGAAAAGGAACTCTAGAAACGAACCAGTCATGAACCTACAGCCCAAAAAATATGCCTACGGAGACGGAGATGGGTCGGACACACGCTGAGGAGACCAGACAGTGACATCACACTCTATATCCTCGAGTAAAATCAGAGTGGAAAACAACCAGTTTGGTGTTCAGAGGTGACATGACTAACTGGTTTCAACATGGGACTTTGCACCGATGTGCAGCAGTTCGAGTCGCCACACTCCATGTAGCACACAAAGCAAGAGAAGAAAGTAAAAGAAATGCAAAATAGAGACAGTAAACAGTGATATGAGACAAAAGGAATAGTAATATCGAAGAACAATATAGTTTCATTGGGTGTTATAAGTCACAAGGAGTGGATGCATCTGCACCAGCCACTGAGAACGAGGATTTTGAGCCATATCACCGATTGTCTCCAGCCGTCATTGGATTTTACCATCCCGATGACCCCAACCAGGAAGTCTACACCTTCTTACGTGACTGTTTAAACTAACTGTTGTGGATTTCATTGACTGATGAAGCCATGTTTTGGTTTGACCACCACTAGCTCTTTTCCAACCTAACCCTAAGTCAGCTAACATTGCCCATCAAGAAGGGCGATGGCTAGGCGTGCGTAACACATGTCCTAACCAGAGGTGACACGGAGAAGATCGTGTGAGGAGAAGACTAGAGTCTACGGGCAATCGTGGAGTCAGCTGAAATCACTGCATAAAACAGGATGAAATGAACAAATGTTGCTAAAGCCCTATGTTCTACTCAGAATACGAGAGAATAAAAATATAATAATTAAGGTGGTTGACTGATGAACTGGTATTTTTTCTTATGTTGGATTAACTTCGTACAAAAGAAGTGAAGAAGATACAAAACATTATGAAAGGCGAATGTGTAACACCTTAGATGATATCTTTGTTATTCTACAAGTTTCCTAAACAATTGTATATATATGTGAAGCTTAGGTGCCGAAATAGCATTTCGTTGACCACACAGTTTAAACGTTTGTATTCATCCTAGATATGGACAGCAACAAGCTGTGAATTTATTTCTCTGACAAATTGCACAAAGAAGTGAGACAGTACAATAAGTCGATGAAATAAAATTTGGTTAATCGTCTTCAAGACTCATCTGCTGGATGTGCTTACATCCTGAGTGAATGATAACAAGCTTGCCTCGTAACCGGTAGGTCTTGGGTTCGAACCCCGATGGATGCGTACTGCTAAAGAGTCCCAAACTGTCTGTCGAGTACTCCCTGGTATCAGCTCGTGATCAAAATGTACTTTTAAATGTCAGAAATACTGGAACAACGGGAATGTTATTTATGCCCACAAATCACTCCAATGTTAAGAACACCAAGAGTAAATATGAACGTTCCTACGTGACATCAAGAATCTGTAAATTATATAAATCATTTGAACAATGCTAAAACTATTTGCGAGTTCTTGCAAACATCACTTATATCTAACATCATTTTGATTTGAATGAAGAAATACGGTGAAAGCTTGAGACACATTCAACTATTTTGCCTTTCAGACCAGTTTTATGTTATAAAACACACATTGTATTGAACTACTTTGAAAATCGGGTAAAGTTTTTTACAATTTCGAAAACTTGGTATATTTAATGTATCACATTGCTCTTTATCTCATTATTTGCATTTTAGGTGTGACTAGGCTACATTTGTTATCATTCAGTGACAAACAGCTTTATAATTTAATAATTCCCATTGTAGCATTAAGAACACAGTATTCGCAGAAAACGGTTACTGTCAATGGAAGTGAACATTGAACGTTTTATTGGAACTGGCAACCATTGGCGGGCAATTGAAGGCGCGAATGGAACGATCGCTTGCAAGTTGAAGGAAGACTGGATTTAAATACGAATAAAAGTACTTTATAACTTCATTTGTACTTAACATTTGTTTGAAGACTTTGTAGTTTTCTTCAATTTAATTGCCAAATAATATAATTTCGTTCAAGGAATACTGGTGTTTTGGATTTAAAGTTGAAGAAAGCGCATAGTATTTATCGGCTCAATCGCTTAAGTCTTCATTACGATAGGAACTTAGGGCTAAGTTCCTTGATAGTTACCCTAACGGATTTATTGACAGCAACATAAAAGATAAGCAGTCGAAACTGGTCATCGACTCAGTTCCAAAGAAAACCTTATTCATGAACTTGGAATTCAAAGGTGATCAAGCTTCAGATGTGCTCAAAAATCGTCTCTCTAAATCAGTCAGTAAGACGTTCTTTGCAGCAAAATTACATATGACGTTCACTAGCCTCAATTTGTTCTCTACCTCTGTAAAAGATAAGCTCCCCCATCTGGCCGCCTCCATGTGCATCTATCAGTTCACCTGCTCTTGTGGAGCAAGGTACATTGGCCGTAGTCAGAGGACACTTTCCACACGGATACAAGAACATATTCCAGCAGCATGGTTTTACAAGGGAGAAAGGAAGTGTGTGAGAAGCTCTATTCTGGAACACCTGATCGACTTCTGTCACTCTGTCAACACTGACCATGATTTCAAGATCATATATAGAATCCATGCTAACTTCCTGCGTTTTCTTCGTTACAGACTTCTAAAGACAGCTGAGGCCTTGGCAATTCATGACTTTAAGCCAGACCTTTGCGTACAAAAGACGTATGTACAATCCCTACTTCTGCCTTGGCCGTAGAGGGATAGACATTTATTTATTTATTTAGTTATTCTATGTACTTTTCCCTTATTACTGCGATTATTATTATTATCATTATTTTTGTTACTATTCTCACTCTGAATTTTTTCACTTGACATTTTAAACCCAAAATATAATTATGTACCCCTTTCTAAAATTCTATACACCTTGTGAATTATTCTATATACGACATTAATTATTGTGCCACTTGACATTAAACTATGATTATAATCACAAATATTTTAATTGCATTTCATACTACTATTATTATTTCACGTATTCACACCTTTGACCTAATTCCCTCACCGGATATAATTTTTATAAAAAACCATATATACATACGATTGTACAGCTTGATAATAAATTCGTTGAAAAGAGTCTCTTCGCTGAATATTGTGTTCTTAAATAGCTTTATGCTGTCTAGTTCTCCGGAGGATTTCGTTTTGATGCTGTTGTGCCGTGTGAACTGAGTAGTTTACCTGAACATTTTCATCAACTTTCTAGTCATCAGCACCAGGGGTAACTAATTCAATGGAGTGGACTTTTGATAATTTGAATGGGTTAGTGGAAAGGTTCATTTTAATTCAGGTTTGACAGATAAATATCTGTGCCTTAAGGTGGTGGAGAGGTATTTCTCTTCAATGGTGTATATACTCCTTGCTGACATATTTTAACAGAAATATAGCCGAGTACCGGAGGTCCCCATCTGAAGTATAAATATATATGTATATATAATACATCAATATAAGAGTTTTTCTAAAGATATAAGCTTTTATAAATCTTATTATTATTTCACAGAATCAAATACCTTATGCAAGCAGAATAATCGTACACTTGTATCGGTATAAGCAACAGCTAAACATCCAGGTGATGATTTACTTCTCTCATCTTCACTAATTATTGTCATTCCATCTGAACACATCAGTGAACCAGAACATTTTACACCGGGATAATTTAATATACATAAATTCACTGCACCAATAGACTTATTGGAAGTATTAACTGATTCGTTAACCTAAAAAAGGTTAAATAAATAAACTGTACATGGTATAACTGTTAAACATGAAAATAAATACAGACGATTCACTCAAAATTCGTCATTGAATTCATATAAGCAAGAAACATAACATGTATGCAGTATTTAAGCCTAAATTCTGTTCGTTTATTCAACCGAGTGAATGTTAGCTGAACAAATAAGAATACAGCCATTTGAATACATTGGCTGATGTCAGGAATATCTAGGTGCTTCTGACCACTCTTATTAATGTTTTTTCTGTAGCTACTACATAACGCAAAGGCTGGTTACTGGGAGTCACGTTAAGAAACCTAATAGAAGATACTGTCCTTACCTTAATGGCCATCAAGGTTTCCATAATCATCAATTTGTTGCTGGAATTTCCTTAATTTTATTTGATATTCTATTTGTTATTACAGTTTTTTGCTTATTATAATTTATGTATCCTTTTTGAATTGTAATTCCATTGATCTTACTTAACAAATCGATAGTGTTTAAGAAACGCCAATATTGATAATGACGATCATTCTAGAATATTCTATGTATATCAGCATATATATATATATATATAATTGTAAAGCCAGAAGAGGAAATCATCGAAAAGGATATTCTTTGCTTAGTTTTCTTTCCTAAATAAAATATCAGTCATAGACATGTCGATCAACAGAATCAAATATGATCAAGGAGAATGCAAGTTGAATGGTAATCATAATTAATCGTAGAGCTAAGATTTAAACATACAACTATTGCACAAGATGATATTGATAATCAAGTTAGCATTACAAATAAAGTTATCAGATATCATCCGGGATAACTACTCTAGATTAGAACTGAAGGCCATGGGAGGGAGACGGATTGAACAAACTTCCTCTGAACACAAAGATTGGACTGAAATATTTTTATGATGACTACCTCACAGTTATACTTAACAATCGAAGAAGTCGCCTTCTTGAGCATTACTCAACGTGGCTAAGTAAAGGAGTTGTAAAGTCAATCCGTTCCAAAGTTCCATATTGCCACACCTTGTGGATAAGGATCACAAGACTGAATAGAATTCAGGCTTTACAATTCTATAAAAGTTACAACCTCAATTCTCTAACTTTCTGAGCCTTCAATTGCTAAGCATAACTGAGGCAATCGTTATAAAGATCTTGCAGTCTCGTGTTTGTGTTCAGAAAGAGTTTGTTGGCTTCCTCTGCCTCTTATGTCCTTCAGCCTTGACTTAGAATAGTTATCCCAGTTATTATTATTATTATCCTACTTACACTCTACTTGATTCTGTTTGATTCCATTGATCCACATTGTTTCACATATCTGTGATTACTATTTGATTATGTAATTGTAAAGTTTGATGAGATATCACCAAACATCTGCATTTGCTTCCTTAAATCATGTCGCAAAATTATCTTAATGGGTGTATTTAAATAGGCTTTGTTAAACTTTTCAAGTAATGATAAAAATTTGAAAGCAATGAAAAGGATAGTTAATTTGCATGTATTTTAGAAATACTATTTATTCATTTTTCATCAAAGCGTGACTATTATTGCCCATAATCTCCCATCTCCTCCTCGCCACACGGTCTCCTTCATGTCAGCCTTGCAATGACGACCCATTCATCTCTTCTCATTGGGATTCCACTCGAGCGATAGCCTGCATTGCACACGACATAATTCGACAGTCTCCTCAACATACACCCAATCCAACTCCATTTTCTCCTATATATTTGTTGAGCAATTGGCTCTCGCCTGTTGGTTTGTCGCCAGCCAGAGTTTTATTGTTGCTAATTCTTTCTCGCCGGCCGACTGGCCATTTGATCTTCAGTATGGAGCCAGCCAGTGAAGATTGCAGATGTAGATAAAAGTCTGTATCTTGCTGGAAATCCTTTTCGTGACACGCAGTGCAAGTTTATGACCCGTTTAGAAGCATTAACTGACTGACTGACTTCACATTTGTGTTCAATAGAATCAGAATCTTGTTGTTTATGCCGACTGACTGAGTGCAGAAGATTTCCAAACTGGTTTCAGGTTGATGAAGACATATCTTCTCTTTTCAATTCTGACTGGTTTGGAGATCTTCATCCATTCCGATTTCCTGTGGTTGAAACTGCACTTCCTAGCCGGATAAGTAAAGGAATTAACCTCTGTCAACTTCCTTTCTCCGTTGATGGTCATAGGTATACTGGTTGTTTTGCTGTTGGTTGGTTATCGCCATCACCTCTCTATTCTCTATATTCACCTGGAGTTCTGTCTTCTCTGCCTGCTTCTTCAGCTAGTTTCTTGGTTTCAGCGAGCCTGCAAGTCTTCGAGTTTGTGTGGCATTAAACATAAATCATACACAGGCGAAATCCAGATCCTCTAGAGCATTCTTATCAGTGGTCCAGCGTATTCCTCTCTCCTCGCTCCCCACAGTCTGAAGCATGATCCAGTTCACCACAACTAAGAATATCATTCGTGATAATACGCAGGCAGCCTTGTCTTACTCCTCTCTTCACTTCAGAACCTTCGTTGAGTTTCTCGTTGAGGATCTCCTGACACCTGGCATCGTCATATAATGAGGATGATAAAGATTTTAACACTGCACGCCATAGTGTTGAAGTAGTTTCCAAATTACTTCTCGGTCAACGCTGTCGAAGGCCATTTCAAAGTTGAAGTTACAGCGTGATACTAAGTAAAAACTTAGAAGTTATACAAGTCAGTAAATTCTTCAGAGTGAACGCAGCTCACTAAATACCTTTTTCAATGAATAACAATTTCACAGTAGAAAAAATCAATTAGCCAATTAAATGTCATGCATCTAAAAGTAGGTTATTTAGTAGATATTTAATAGTGACATAATCTAATAATTATAAAAAATAAAATGAACTATACTAACTTGTAGTTCAGATAATAATTGACGTGTCTCAGAATTCCAAAGACGTACACTTCCATCCAAAGAACATGTGACAATTATATCATTGCTATTGGTTGATGAAGTAGACAATTGGTCATTATTTTCATTGGTATTGACAAATTGTTGATCGCGTTTTGGCCACCAAACTAAACCTGTGATTTGTGTTTTATGTCCAGAGGATAAAACAGTTATACCAGTCGGTGTTTCTGAAAGGGAAGTCTCTACCTCCGAAGTACGACAACAACTGGCGTTTCCTTCAACTTCAGACCAATCCACATACCTACATCATTTGGCAATAATATGAATTTTAAAGAATTATTTTGTACGAAGGATTTGATATGTTTCAAGTCTGATTACCAGCTGACATAGGTTAGAGAACTGTTGGCATACCAAGGAGTATTGAATAGCCATCTCGTCCTAGCAGTACGCACCTATCGGAGTTCGAACCCAGGAGCCTCCGGTTACAAGAAGCTGGAAATAATTGGTCTTTGAATAAAGCCCCAATGACCGAATGGTCTACGAGTTCACCTTGCAACCGGAACGTCCTCAAATGGAAACCTGGTAGGTGTGTAGTACTGAAGAGTCCCAAGCTAGGACGAAGCAGTTGTCCAATACTCTCGGGTATTACAATGCTTGTCAGTTCATGATTAAACTTGAAATAATATGAATATTGAAATAACTTTCCTTAGGTAATAATAAACACATACAATAGTATTTCAGTTCATACTAACTGAAAATCCTTCACCTTGGAATATCGACAACAAATGGACATCTAGAGTTATAATAAAGCTTATTCCCTACTGGCTAAGCTTTCAACGTTAAATTTGGACTTTTCACACTTTCTCAAAACACAAAGTTTCTATTCTAAACATTTAAACTGTAACAAGAAATATAAGCATATTTTTATTGAAACTTATCAGTACTTACCTGGTAAAAATGTAAGATTTTAGTATACTTGTCTGTTGAATATGGAATTTATCCCTTTCTTGTTCATTCAAGATGGATTAAGGTAGTTTCCAGTTCGAAAGAAATGCTGTAAGTATGAGTTAGTTTAGATGAAACTAGCCTACTGGTGAGCAGTCATCATAAATTCATCCCTACTTAGATAGTAGTACACCTATTGGAACACAATTAAGTTTGACTGAAATTCAGATATGTAGGTTGCAGTAGGATTAATGAATCTAGAGGTCTTTGAATGATTAGTTTGGAACACTGATAACTCAACTACAAAACGTATCCATCACAAAACTTTCTGTTTATTTCTGTACACCAAAGGTTTCGTCTATCTATAATGTATATGATAGTACGAGTAAATATTGTTTTATCACCATCATTAAATCTTCCCACAGCATACCAGATCGAACTAAACGAAAGAAGTAGGCGAGAATGTTTAGGTGTTGAATGGTATCACAGTTAGCAGAATGTCTTTTGATTCGTATAGTATGATCAGCTGTCACACTCAAGCTATTCTTTTGCCGCGTGAGTAAGTATTTGATGAAAACACCTTAACTCTACAATGTATCACACAATTTCCTTTGCTAAATTATCATTGTTATTATTCTATTCCTTTGCGATACGAGTGGAACATAGGTGTTACCACCGGGGCTACGATGAGCGAACACTAATTTAATGCGCTGGCTAATCTACCCCCAATCGCACGTCAACAATAACAATAACACCGCCGTCACACAACGACAAAGGGAAAGAATCAGCGTCAATAGAAGAGCTTCTATTGTCTCAAGTAACAGTTAAAATGGTAGGCGAAAATTCTGTATATATACAGATAGAATGACCTTGGAAATGCAGTAATTCAGCAATGCATTAAAAGTATTAACAGCCAACAGGAATCCAGCAATCCAAACGCAGGGAAAAGCAAAGGACTCACGCCACTGCGCGATAACTCCGTAAAATAGTTATTTTAAGGTTTTAGGCAAAACTAGGTGTATATTACAAACAGGGCTTCAAGATGGAGCTTTTAAATTTCAGTGGTGGTGGTGTTTATTTTTTGGTGAAGTTTAACAGTAACGTCCTGGGAGTGCGAACGCTCCACTGACCTTGAACGCATGCTAGTCTTTGGCGGACGGCACCTGTCACTATCATAGCTGAAATATCAACGCTATTCACCAATTAAGCAGCAAATTTCACCCAGATCACATTTTTAAGTAGTGTTTAGACAATGTGTTAAGAGCTCGTTAGGGTTCGGGTTAGGATCAGGGTCATAATTAGCATTAGGATTAGGTTTACGGTTAGGATAAGGGTTGTAATTATGGTTAGTGTTTAAGGTTAGGGTCAGGATTAAGGTTAGAGTTAAGACTAGGGATAGATTTTGAGTTTATGTCATTTATTTTAATTTGTTTTCTTATTCACATTTTCCTGGTAAGTAGTCGTTAGTCTTCTTACTGCGGGGGGGGGGGGAAGACTGCACAACAGGATAAGAGAGATAAACAGTTCACAAAAACAGCTCATCTTTAGCCACCTTGGTGAATACATGTACGGAAAGTAGTCTAACTTAACATCTGATACTCCTCATGATAACTGGGACGTATTTTTAAGTTATGTCAGAGAAAGATACCCTATTTAATGTGTTTTCATGCATTTTCTTGTAAATATACGTCCTTTTTTGTGCAAAAGTCATTTATTTTTATGATTGGTAGGCTAAAAGTCACTCGTGCATTCGCATTCTTGGGACGCTTTTGTTTAACTTTGCCTATTTTTTACTGAGTAGGGTTGCTAGCCTCATGCTCAGTCTCCCCTCTTTCATAGAGATGAGTCTGTCAGAGGTCAGACCCGAGACCACGTGAGGCGTGGTTTGGGACTAAATAGTAAATATAAAAATATTTCGCTGAATAATGGTTGAATGGAACCCGTATAGAACTAGATGGATCTGAAAACAGTCAACACAATCAAAAATACAATCAGAGATACATTTATGCAGAATTTTAGACGTAGAGATAGTGCCATTTAGTTGAAATGTTGATAGTTCAATGTTTGAAAGCCAGGACCTTCTGGTTACAAGGCGAACTCGTAGATCATTGACCCACTAGGACCCGATCCAATGGTTCTTGAATTCTAACTTCTGTTAATTCACGATATTGCGCGACCATTTCGCAATGTTTTCTTCGATGAGTTACTGTCTCATCTTCAACCTGCTGTATCCTACTGGTCACAACTTCCCACTAGAATCCCAGGTTAACTGCCTGAATAGGGCCAGCAGCTAGTGAGCATCAGATCAATTTTCAAGTATTGGTTTTGTAGGGATGTTTTTGTTTTGATTGCATGGAGGATTTCGTCATGAGCTGACATCAGTTAGAGAACCACTGGAAAACCTTGGAGTACTGGACAGCTGTTTCGTTTGAAAGATTGAAAACATATTTTTCTGGGTGGCTTGGGAATTCACGTTCACTATCACAAATGAACCTTACTTAATAGCCTGAAGGTGGTGAGTAACAGTGAACGTCCATTCCAAAGCAATCCAGAAAAAGTATTTATTCAATCTTTCAAACATCGAGCAGTCAACAGTTCAACCAAAGGAACTATCTCCAAGTCCAAAATTCTGCATAAAAACAACCCAACATTCAAAAGCTACAATCCTATATTCATTTCAAAAAACTGATGGCTAAAAATTATGACCTAGTATCAAAATCAGAGATGCTAAGTAACTGACACAAATGTTTGCATATTCAAAAAGCCATTACCATAAATTGCAGTCATTCGTACTGACTACACCAATTTGTCCTTCTAAGTCGAAGCAAGCTGATAGAAAACCTGTTTGAGCAGAATAATGTATTGATTTCATTAATTTGACGTTGACATTTTTAATCCCACCATTATAATAACTATTAGAATTACTTTTGATGATAAGTGAATTATGATGATGCATTGAAATGTGGTCACTGCTGGAAAATTCCAAGTCTAAACGCCATTGGTGTAACAGACCATTTGTGCTGCCTGTAACAAAACCATACGGACCACAAGAGGATATCACACTTATCTGGAAAAGTAAAATCAACAGAAAATAATTAATGGGTGGAATCATTTCCAGGTTATTGTTTTAATTAAGAGTTGTAAAAGATGACAGTGAATAAGCAGATATCTACTGTTAGAGGGCTACATTTCCAATTATCTAATTTTGTCACGGTTATAGTTATAGTGTCTTATCATTGAAAAGAAATCAAACATCTACTTACCTATATAAACTCGACTACGTTGGTGTCACAGAGGTAGAATGCTCGCCAACCACTCCATATGTCGTGTGGGGTTCGATCACCGGCCGACGCACTCCTTTACCTTGCTAAGCCAGTAATAAGACTAGTAAAGGGGGAATGTTGGGCATATGAGGTTAGCAACCTCATCCCGTAAAAATAAACAACAGTGCTACAGAAATTTCAAGCCCCTAATCTATTCATAGTTCTATGCTGTCCCATCTGGTAGATACAGAACACAAAACTGATGTAAACAAGGCCTTCAAAGTCATCTACCCTTATACTAATTAATCTTAACTTTAACTTAAGAGTTCGTCTACTATATATCGCTGACGTTGGCTGTTGGCATCCACATTAGGAGACCTAACTTATGTATCCAAAACAAGAAGTTGGTTCTGACTCTTTCCTTACCTTGCTGACCATCAAGGTATTAATATGATCCTCAATTTACTGCTGTAGAGATTTCCTTAATTTTATTTGATATTCTATTTGCTATTACATTTTTATGCTTATAATAATATATGCATCTTTCTTCAACTGTAATTCCACTGATCTTACTTAACAAATCGATAGTATTTAAAAACACTAATATTCTTATTGACTACAATTCTAGGATATTCTATGTATCTAAACATATATGTATAATTGTAGAGTCAGAAGAGGAAGTTATCGAAAAGGATATTCTTTGCTCAAGTTTCTTTTTCCTAAATTTCTGAATGAATATTTTCTCTATATCAAAATGGTTGCATTTAGATAAATTCACTTCAGCAGGGCTCATAACTCCAAATGAACTCATATTACTGAAACAACCAAACGGCTTTAGTTTAGTACAGGGATTTCAGTGATTTTAATTGAGATTACGAAATGACATCAGTCAGAGAACCAATGAAAATCAAGGACAGCCATTTCGTCTTAGTTTGAGACTCTTCAGGAATATGCGCACTTGACCCCATCATAACCCGACCGAAAGCTGCTACCTTGACGTGGTGGTCGGGCTTGAACACCGCAATGACCCAACAAGCTATACTGGCTGGAACTTATGCTCCTGCAGGTCCTACCATGCCAGAAAGGTTGTTTGGATAGCGGTTAGACTAAAAGCAGTTACCCAATCCAATGCCATGACTTCAAAATAAATCACAAATATCATGTCGGATCGGTCGGGCCCTGATTAACAACGACCGCGCTTTCTGCTGCCGTGTCACAGGGCAGAAGTGATAAATACGCTACTGAGACACACCAAATGAAAAAACAACAAACAAAAACAGGCCGTGTGTGACCGGCCTCAATCAGTTGTCCCCTGGGCTCTGCGGTCACGCAACCAACTTCCACGGTGTGGGCAGCCGGGAAGTAACAATCGCCCCCACAATCCGAAATGCACGCGAAACCTCTCCAATCCTCACTCACCTCTGTCTTCATCTTCATCTCTATTATCTTGCCTTCCTTCTACTAATGCAACTCCTCTACTTAATGGCTCTTCACTTCTTCACTCTGTGTGCACTGAAAACGACGGAAGCAGCAGTCCCATCATAAATGAAACTTAGCACTTTCAGATGACGAGGCCAGCACACTGACCATTCAGCCACTGGAAAAGAGCCTAATTGTCAATTTGTATACTGCTATGACAAAACAGTACTCCATTTTTCCAAACATCTCACAGTGATAAATTGCATCAATAACTGTTGACTTACTTCATTGCATTCAGCAGAAAAGTTATAAATACAAGCATGACTGTTGACATCCCATACAGTTAGCTGACCAAAGTTATCTGCAACCAGTAGTAATAAGATCATTTTCGGCATAGTAGTATAATAATAATCAAGTTTATTAGGGATTTTCATATAGGTTGCAGAACAATATTCTGTATTCTGAACAAATCTGGCTTTATCCTGTAGAGATGTGATTCCTTTGATACATGTAAGCGGTTTATCTGAATTCATCACATTACTAGTATAACTGTTTTGATAATCAGCAGTATATCTGGAGTGTTTAATGTCAATCTTCCAAAAGAGAATAAGACTTTCACGATGCATTGACTTTACACCATTGTCATCAGCATGATTCAGATGACCACCGATTGTGATAAACTCATTAGCGAATAATGGAGAGCATAAGATCTGAAAACAAATGATGAACACAGAAAGGGTGAGGGGAGGGGTTTACTTTTGAAGTCAGTGTTTCGCATACAGTTTATATAAATCAATTACACAACAAATAAGGCCACTGAGCACTAACACCTCAGTACACATTATGTTTTTGTTTTCAGTGTAGATGGAAACATCCATAACGCATCTGTTAGTGTTGTTAATAATAAATAAATGTCCAATGATTTGACATATTCAAATTGCTCCTGTTTCTGTTTGGAGGTTACAATCCCTACTGTGTTCTAGTTGCTTTCTGTTGAGCAGAAGACTGGAGCAATACAACCAGAAGTATTATTGTGAATTATACGGATGATTAGTTGTAGACTTTGATGCTTCAGCATTTGAACAAACGTTACGTTTTGAAGCAATAACTTTTAGTAATGTAACCATCTGTTCTGCAATTGTGGTTTATTGTCCGTGGAACAGTAAACAATCTCTGGGCTGTTCACTTGTCTTCTGATATTTTCGATTTGGTTGCGTTTTATAGTATTCTGAATTGCATCTGATGGTCCTGTGGTAAACACACAAACCTCAGGAAATTTAGGTTGAGAGTCTTCGAAGCTGGTAGGTATATTTACAGCATCATAATATATATGTAAAGTGAATTTAATAGTCTTGCTGGAAACTAAAACACCACAGAGTTTTGGATGCCTTGAATACGAACCATTTGCGTAGGGTTTTATGGTTAATACAACAAAAATTATTTTTTCTCCCTCTCTATCGTTTAAAATATCTGTTTGACAGATGAAAAATTCCGATAAAAAATATAGTGCAGCTCAGTTCTTCGATCAGAGGTTTTCCGTCAGTTATGTTGAAGACTAAACATATTATATGCCAACCCACGTCGTTAACTAAATAAGTTCGGTTTGGATTTGAACCTGAAACTTAAAGTTCGAAATTATTGCAAGAGTAGAATTTCGGCACTGTGAGAGAATAGAATTCTATATTGGTTAAGGTTAGTTGATATACTACAAAGTACCTTATCACACAATAGAGTGGGGTAGGGTAAAAAAAGTATTGTGGTAGACTGAATTATGCGTCAGACTGTGGGGAGCCAAGAGACAGAAATACATTGGACCTATAAGAAGACTCTAGAAGATCTGGATTTAGCAGGTGGATGATTTATGTTAAAAATGTCACACGAACTCGAAGATATGCAGGCAGGTGAAAACCAACAAACTGGCTGAAGAAGCAGGCAGCAAAGACAGGACTCCAGGTGAACATAAAGAAGACAGAGGTGATGAAGGTAACCAACCAACAGCAACAACAACCAGTACTAGTCACCATCAAAGGGAGAGATTTGACAGAGGTCACTCCCTTCACTTATCTAGGAAGCATCATCAAAACTAATGGCGGCACCATGGATCTGGTTGTCTAACCCAGAGTCAGAAAGACGAGTTAAACCTTCGTCACTCTGAAATCAGTTTGGAAATCTTCTGTACTCAACACGAAGAACAAGATTTGAACTTTCAACAGCAATGTTAAGTCAATCACTTCTTCTACATAGGTGAGAAACTTGCACTGTGAGTCACGGAAAGCATTTCAACAACTGCCTCCGCGCCATATGGAGGATCGAATTCAACAGAAACCCTGTGAGCAAACCAACCAAGTTTCTGTAGCGATTTGGTTAAGTTTTGGGGGTGAAGTCGCTAGCACCACGCCCCAACCCTCCCTCTTTATTCGGGCTTGGGACTGGCTAGAAAACTAGTGAGCTAGTAATCTAGGCGGATTTTCAATACAAACGTCAATTCAGTCAGTTCTTCTATACGGATCAGAAACTTGGCGGCGGGTCACAAAGAATATTTCCAACTGCCTGTTGCACACCTTTATCAACAACTGTCTTCGCACTATACTGAAGATCAGATGGCCGGAAAGAATCACCAACAAGAAACTATGGGAACAAACAAAACAAGAACCAATCGCCCAACAAATATGCAGGAGAAAGTGGAGATGAATTGGACACTCGTTGAGGAGGCCACTGGGTTACATCACGCGTCAGGCCATAGCTCGAGTGGAACCCGAAAGGGAAGCGGTGAGTGGGACGTCAGTGGAAGGGTGACATGGAGGAGATCGTGAGAAGAGGAGCTGAAACAGTATGGAATAACATGGATGCAGGTGAAATGTACGGCAGAAGACAGAAGCAAGTGGAGACATGCAGTTGAAGCCCTATGTCCCACTAGGAACCCAAGGGAACAATAATAATAATTAACCAACCAAGAAACTATTGCTCAACAGAATGCCGAAGAAAGTGGAGATGGGTTGGACACACGTTGAGAAGACCGCTGAGTGACATTACCCACCAGACTATCGAGTGGAACCCTAACGGGAAGTGACAAGTGACGTGCAGAAAATTGTTTGAGAAGGACATGAGTGATAGTGGGCTATCGTGGGGCCAGCGAAGGGGGACCGGATAGAATAGGACAAACCGGAGATTTGTTGATGGAGCTCTTATGTTCCACTGAAAACCTAAGGGAACAATAATAATAATACTTATTGTAATTAGTATAAATAACTATTAAGTCTTTAAATTTTATATTTATCCTACCTGATTGCAATAACCATCCATATATACTGAGGAGAGAATAGTCCAATCATAGGTTGACCATAATTTTAATCCATTAGTATGATAATCTTCAATAGTGATAAGATATCGTGAATCCATTGTAAATGACATTGTTAATAAAATACCATAGAGAAGAGTATTATTATCTTCCATAGCAGAATATGATTTGATTGTTTGATTATTGATTGGTAATAAAAATCGTTTGGATAAATCACATTTCAATATTGGTAAAGATGTCAGTGAAGTAGAATATTTTGAATATTGATTGAATTTAATTGGTATAGTTATTAGTGTGGAAATTATGTCAGGACAACTGAAATTCAAAAATATATAAAAAATCTCATTTTAAGAATAACATATTTGGTGGAAATGCACAGGTGAGGATAAACCCTTAATCTTAAGGTGTTATCGTGAACCGTGCAAAAGATATTCCAGTTGTATAAACAATTGGGAGTAAGACACGGCTGCCTACTATCGCCAATGATTTTTATGATTTCGGGCAGTAGATTGGATAATGCGACAGACAGCGGGCAAGGAGGTAACAGGCATAAAATGGACTCACACAAAAAAACTTGGAGGGTCTGGACTTCACCTATGATATATGTCTGATTTCCCACAAACCGGGAGATATGCAAGCGAAAAGCAACAAGTTGGCAGAAGAAGCATCAAAGATAGGACTTCAGGTGAACATCGAGAAAACAGAGGTGATGAAGATTACTGGACAAGAACAACAACAAAAGACAACGATCAGCATAAATGGAAGGAACCTGAAAGAAACAACCTCCTTTACCTACCTGGGAAGCATCGCTTCAACTACAGCAGGACGAATCTGGTGAGGATATCAAAGCAAAGGTCAGAAAAGCAAGACAAGCTTTTACTACTCTCAAGTCGGTGTGGAGGTCAACAGCACTCAGCATCAAAAATAAGATCCGGATTTTCAACTCCAATGTGAAGTCAGTCAGTGCTACTCAATATACGGATCAGAGACTTGCACTGCGCGTCATAAAGAGCACATGAAACAAACTACAGACCTTCATTAACAGCTGTCTTCGTTCAATACTCTAGATCAGATGGCCAGAAAAGATCAGCAACAGAGATCTCTGGCAATGAACGAACCAACACAAAAGGAACCGATTGTAAAACAAATAGGCAGGAAGAAATGGAGATGGATTGGCCATACTCTGAGGAAACCATTAAGTGACATCACTAGACAAGCCATTGCTCGAGTGGAACCCGAAAGGGAAGCGGCGAGTCGGTCGTCAGTGCAAAGATGACTTGGAGGAGGTCATATGAAGAGGAGATGAAAACGTGTGGGCAGACTTGGAGCCAGGTGAAAACTCTAGCAGAGAACCGAAAGCAATGGAAGCGCGCGGGAATTAAAGGAAATAATAAATAATAATAAATCGGAATAACATCCTTTAAAGCAAGTGAGCCTATAAGTAGTCGATAAAAACAAACATACCTCCCTCCTATGGATAAAGTTTTATTTTGATAAAATCACACAATGTTTGTTATACAGTAATATTTACTGTTGACCACGCTTAGAGCACAAATTATTGCTCATAATCATACAGGTACCTTTATAGGTACCTATACAAAGTTTCTTGCTTCATTTATAGACATGAGTAAAAATTGATGATTAGACATCAGAAATAATAATATGAGTGTTATTAAAAAAGGCAGGCTTAGTTAAGTGTCTAACAAACCGAGTAAAACAAAAAACCAAAACGAGGAAATGAAACAGATAGAAGAAGCGTTGGTGTTAAATAACTGACTATCCCTTGAAATTCATCAGGAATATCAAAAAAGGTCAAAAGCAAAATAAAAATAATGGTGAAACTAATAATGATAACATTAATAAGAAAAAATATAAGACATCTAGAGTAGTTTTACCATATAAGGAGGGCACATCTGAAACCCAAACAAGATATTGAGCGAACAATTGTTTTCGATAACTTCTTTTTCAGGCTCTACAGAGCCTCAAAATTTTTTTTTGATTCCAATATGGGGATATTTCATTTACTGACATCTGAAACCCTCCATACGTAGGATTATTAGTAAATCAGGAATTAGGGTGGCATTCAAACCTACACAGTCACTCAGGTAGGACAAGCTTTGTAGGTTAAAGGACCCGGTGTCCCAGTTAAACAAAATAATATAATTTACAAAATACCTTGCAATGACTCTGAGTTAAGTCACATACATAGGTCAAACTAGTAGATCAGGAGTAGTGAGATTACCAATCAGAACATAAGAATTTAGATAAGGTTAGAATGATTGATCCCACGAAGATAAGCAATTTACGGGGAAAAAAGTACTCAGGAATTGCATTGCATGCATTAACACATTACCACACAATAGGGTGTGTGGGACAGAGTCAAAATTCTACAGAGTAATAAAGGTAGGTGGAGAGAGGGAAAGGTTGATTACTGAATCCTGGTTTATCGAGTCTACACCCAACACAACACATGCAATAGAATTGACTCAACGCAAATACCAGAGATATGCATGGAAGATATTATTACCACCAGTCAAATCAGAGGAGGATAATAAATAATGTTAAAATGTATTCAATTCACATTATAACATTCTAACAAGTTACTTATTTTTACTGTAAAAACATCTTATTTCCCATCTGATTGTATTTGATTGATGACACTAATATTACTTCCGAATGTACTTTATCTTATATTGTTTTTATTCAGATGTCTAATCATTAATGTTTATTCATGTATATTAATGAAGCAAGGGAGCAAGAAAGTTGTGTGAGTAGTGCCTTGATATGATTATGAGAAGTAGTAATAAATTATGCTCGAAACGTGGTCATCAGTAAATATTACTACTGTATAACAAACACTGTGTGATTTTATCAAAATAAAATCGAATGCTTAATGGGGTTATATTCCAACACAGTGTCCAAGTTTTATCCTTATTTCAATACCTCCCTTTTATTTCTGCTTCCTTGATAGGATAGAAGAAAGGCAGTCAATTCCGATCCCGGATTTTCTTTAGGTAGATGATATTATGCACAGCATAATGTATTGCGTCATTAAAGGAATATTATTATTTGTTGCTAATGTTACATTAGGCTACTTTAAAGGTATTTTGTCAATTTTTTTTTATTAGAACAAGATATATAAGCGAACATTACTGTTGTTTTCAATTAGATTCTCTTCAGGCTTTACTCTAATCTACGTAGATTTATATATAAAAAATTTTCACCAATGAACATCTCCCTGCATGATTCGGAAAAGGCCAAATAAAATCTATGCAAAGTTCTATTTTGACTCATTCGATCGACAGAGGTCACGAAGTGGACGGAAGGAGTCCCTTTAAAGTTATCTGTCACATTCCATTGAACCATTCGAACGGAATTCGAACTCACCTTTTATACATAACCGAAGCTATGGAAATTAATTTGAGAGAACAATCCTAGTCTTTACATACAGCAAAAGAGGTTTATTTCACCTTTTTCGCTCCCTTGCTTGCCTAGGTGAATTCTAATCAAAACCCTCCCATCCTTTCTTATTTTCCATTTCCTTCGTACTTTTATGATATTTATTTAAACTCTGATCATCTATCCACTTCACCTTTAGTATTACATATTACCTTTTAAGATTGTCTACATATACACATATCATTACCTTCGTTTTTCTTGTAGCCACCTGGATAGACTTCATTATAATTATTTTGTTATCATTATAATCATCGTTATTAATGACGTTCATAACATTTACCACATTATCTATAATTTGGTTTGTAAGTGTTAGTTATTGATATCAGTTAGAGAAACATTGAAAACCAGCTTGGAGTACTGGACAGCTGCTGTTTCGCCCTAGTTTGGGAATCATCGGAAGTACGCACCCACTGGGATTCGAACCCAGGGGTCGCGCTAAATCACGAATTGGTAGAAGTTAGAATTCATGAGCCATTGAATCGGGTCCCAGTGGCTGAATGGTATACGAGCTTCCCTTGTAACCGGAAGGTCCTGGGTTCGAATCGCAGTGGGTGCGTACTTCCGATGATTCCCAAACTAGGGTGAAACAGCAGCTGTCCAGTACTCCAAGCTGGTATTCAATGGTTTTCTAACTGATATCAATCTGTGATCAACCCGTAAAACATTTACCACATTGTTATTATTATTTGATCCACAAACTCACCGTCTTTGGATAAAATTTTTATACATAAATCTATGTAAATTAGAGTAAAGCCCAAAGAAGATCTAATTGAAAACAACAATCTTGTGTGCTAATAATTCTTGTTCTAATATTAATAAATGGGAATATTTAAAGATTTTTTTACCCAACTGGAATATCTGTTGCCTCGTTCGCCATGCTATAAGCGAACAAAAACCTTTAGATTACTTTTATCCTCAATCGTAATTTTACAAGAAATAAAAGTGGAAAAAGAAAACATTTAGTTGGTTGACTCAACACACTTTTGAATTTAAGTTGATACTTTGTCTGTTCTAAAGACTTTAAAAGCAGTTATAGATAGAATGACTCAGTTAGACCATATATGGGATTTAATAGTACAATTCATCAGCTCAAAAGGAGCATTTCCGGATGTGAAGTTAAACTATCAAAGCCAAAATCAGGGCCTGTCAAAAGTTGACTTTCGAGAACCAATCACATTGTTATTATTTACTATTGTTTCCTTTAATTCCTAGAGGAACATAGGGCTTCAGCCGCGCGTCTCCATCGCGTTCGGTTTTCTGCTAGAGTTTCATCTGGTTCCATGTCTGACCACACGCTTTCATCTCCTCTTCACATGACCTCCTCCAAGTCACCCTTGCATTGACGACCAACTCGCCGCTTCCCTTTCGGTTTCCACTCGAGCGATGGATTGTCTAGTGATGTCACTAGATGGCTTTGTTTCCTCAGAGTATGGCCAATCCATCTCCATTTCTTCCTGCCTATTTGTTTCACAATCGGTTCCTGATGTGTTGGTTCGCTCATTGCCAGAGATCTCTGTTGCTGATCTTCTCCGGCCATTTGATCTTCAGTATTGAGCGAAGACAACTGTTAATGAAGGTCTGTAGTTTGTTTGATGTGCTCTTTATGACGCGCCAAGTAAGTAGCACTGACTTCACATTGGAGATGAAAATCCGGATCTTACTTTTGATGCTGAGTGCTGACCAATCAAATTAGGGGGACGTTATTAAAGGTCATTCCATATCAAATCATGATAGTGTTTATGCATTAGGTGAATAAGTTCCATGAAGACCTGGAATGTAAGAATTATCAACGGCGGCTTGCTTGAAAATTTGGGCTATCAAAAACACCTCCATCATTATATTGCATATAACTTCTG